GGTGCTATATACATGTTGAGGTGGTCCCTAGACACCACATGTCGAGGTTGTCCCTATATACATGTCGAGCTGGTCCTTGATACATGTCGAGGCGGTCCTAGACACATGTGGAAGTAGTGCTATATACATGTCGAAATGGTGCTATATACATGTCGAGGTGTTCCTTGATACATGTCGAGGTGGTCCTAGAGAGGTGTCAAGGTGGTCCTACATACATGTCGAGGTGGTCCTTGATACATGTCGAGGTGGTCCTACATATTAAAGTGGTCCTAGATACATGTCGAGGTGGTCCTATTTACATGCCGAGGTGGTCCTGCGTGTCGATGTGGTCCCTAGATACATGTTGAAGTGGTCCTAGACACATGTCGAGGTGGTCCTATATACATGTCAAGGTGGTCCTAGATACATGTCGAGGTGGTCCTAGACACATGTTAAGGTGGTCCTATATACATGTCAAGGTGGTCCTATATACATGTCGAGGTGGTCCTTGATACATGTCGAGGTGGTCCTAGACACATGTCGATGTGGTGCTATATACATGTGGAGGTGGTGCTATATACATGTCAACGTGGTCCCTAGATACATGTGGAGGTGGTTCTAGATACATGTCGAGGTAAAGCTAGATACATGTCAAGGTGGTCCTAGATACATGTCAAGGTGGTGCTAGATACATGTCAAAGGTGGTCCTAGATACATGTCAGGGGTCCTAGAGACATGTCGAGGTGGTGCTAGATACATGTCAAGGTGGCCCTAGAGACATGTCGAGGTGGTCCTAGACACATGTTAAGGTGGTGCTATAAATATGTTGAGGTGGTCCTAGACACCACATGTCGAGGTTGTCCTATATACATGTCAAACTGGTCCTTGATACATGTCGAGGGCGGTCCTAGACACATGTCGAAGTGGTGCTATATACATGTCGAAATGGTGCTATATACATGTCAAGGTTGTCCTAGGTACATGTCAGGTGGTCCTAGAGACAGGTCCAGGTGGTCCGAGATACATGTCAAGGTTGTCCTAGATACATGTCAGGTGGTCCTAGATACATGCCAAGGTTGTCCTAGATACATGTCAGGTGGTCCTAGAGACATGTCAAGGTGGTACTAGATACATATTAAGGTGGTCCTAGATTCATGTCAAGGTGGTCTTAGATGCAAGTCAAGGTGGTCCTAGAGAGCTGTCAAGGTGGTCCTATATACATGTCGAAGTGGTCCTAGATACATGTCGAGGTGGTCTTAGATACAAGTCAAGGTGGTCCTATATACATGTCAAGGTGGTCCTATATACATGTCGAAGTGGTCCTAGACACATGTCGAGGTGGTCCTATATACATGTCGAGGTGGTCCTAGATACATGTCGAGGTGGTCCTAGACACATGTTGAGGTGGTCCTATATACATGTCAAGGTGGTCCTATATACATGTCGAGGTGGTCTTGATACATGTCGAGGTGGTCCTAGACACATGTCGATGTGGTTCTAGATACATGTCGAGGTGAAGCTAGATACATGTCAAGGTGGTCCTAGATACATGTCGATGTGGTCCTAGACACATGTTAAGGTGGTCCTATATACATGTCAAGGTGGTCCTATATACAAGTCGAGGTGGTGCTATATACATGTCTAGATACAAGGTGGTCCTAGATACATGTCGAGGTGGTTCTAGATACATGTCGAGGTGAAGCTAGATACATGTCAAGGTGGTCCCTATATACATGTTGAAGTGGTCCTAGACACATGTCGAGGTGGTCCTATATACATGTCGAGGTGGTCCTAGATACATGTCGATGTGGTCCTAGACACATGTTGAGGTGGTCTATATATACATGTCAAGGTGGTCCTATATACATGTCGAGGTGGTCCTTGATACATGTCGAGGTGGTCCTAGACGCATGTCGATGTGGTTCTAGATACATGTCGAGGTGAAGCTAGATACATGTCAAGGTGGTCCTAGATACATGTCGATGTGGTCCTAGACACATGTTAAGGTGGTCCTATATACATGTCAAGGTGGTCCTATATACAAGTCGAGGTGGTGCTATATACATGTCAAGGTGGTCCTAGATACATGTCGAGGGTGGTTCTAGATACATGTCGAGGTGAAGCTAGATACATGTCAAGGTGGTCCTAGATACATGTCAAGGTGGTGCTAGATACATGTGGAGGTGGTCCTAGATACATGTCAGGGGTCCTAGAGACATGTCGAGGTGGTGCTTGATACATGTCAAGGTGGTCCTATATACATGTCGAGGTGGTCCCTAGACACATGTAAAGGTGGTGCTATATACATGTTGAGGTGGTCCTAGACACCACATGTCGAGGTTGTCCTATATACATGTCGAGCTGGTCCTTGATACATGTCGAGGCGGTCCCTAGACACATGTGGAAGTAGTGCTATATACATGTCGAAATGGTGCTATATACATGTCGAGGTGTTCCTTGATACATGTCGAGGTGGTCCTAGAGAGGTGTCAAGGTGGTCCTACATACATGTCGAGGTGGTCCTTGATACATGTCGAGGTGGTCCTACATATTAAAGTGGTCCTAGATACATGTCGAGGTGGTCCTATTTACATGCCGAGGTGGTCCTGCGATGTCGATGTGGTCCTAGATACATGTTGAAGTGGTCCTAGATATACATGTCGAGGTGGTCCTATATATACATGTCAAGGTGGTCCTAGATACATGTCGATGTGTGGTCCTAGACACATGTTAAGGTGGTCCTATATACATGTCAAGGTGGTCCTATACAGTACACATGTCAAGGTGGTCCTAGATACATGTGGGTTGAGGTGGTCCTAGATACATGTCGAGGTTGTGGTGCTGATATACAGGCGGTGGAGGTGGTCCTATATACATGTCAATGAGGTGGTCCTAGATACATGTGGAGGTGGTCCTAGATACATGTCCAAGGTGGTCCTAGATACATGTCAAGGTGGTCCTTAGATACATGTCAGAGGTGGTCCTAGATACATGTCAAGGTGGTCCTATATACATGTCAAGGTGGTCCTAGATATACATGTCGAGGTGGTCCTAGATACATGTCAAGGTGGTCCTAGATACATGTCAAGGTGGTCCTATATACATGTCAAGGTGGTCCTAGATACATGTCAAGGTGGTCCTAGATACATGTGTCAAGGTGGTCCTAGATACATGTCAAGGTGGTCCTAGATACATGTCAAGGTGGTCCTAGATACATGTCTAGATACATGTGGTGGTCCTAGACACATATGTCAGGTTGGTGGTCCTAGATACATGTCAAGGTGGTCCTATATACATGTCCAGGTTGTCCTAGATACATGTCAAGGTGGTCCTAGATACAAGGTCGAGGTGGTCCTAGATACATGTCAAGGTTGTCCTAGATACATGTCAAGGTTGCCCTAGATACATGTCAAGGTGGTCCTAGATACAGGTGGTCCTAGTTGAGAGGTGTCAAGGTGGTGCTAGATACATGTCGAGGTGGTCCCTAGATACATGTCAGGTGGTCTTAGAGACATGTCGAGGTGGTCCTATATATACATGTCGAGGTGGTCCTATATACATGTCGAGGTGGTCCTAGACACATGTTAAGGTGGTCCTATATACATGTTGAGGTGGTCCCCTATATACATGTCGAAGTGGTCCTACATACATGTCGAGGTGGTCCTATTTACATGCCGAGGTGGATACATGTCGATGTGGTCCTAGATACATGTTGAGGTGGTCCTAGACACATGTCAAGGTGGTCCTATATACATGTCAAGGTGGTCCTATATACAAGTCAAGGTGGTCCTAGATACATGTCGAGGTGGTAGACACATGTCGATGTGGTGCTATATACATGTGGAGGTGGTGCTATATACATGTCAAGGTGGTCCTAGATACATGTGGAGGTGGTTCTAGATACATGTCGAGGTAAAAGCTAGATACATGTCAAGGTGGTCCTAGATACATGTCGAGGTGGTGCTAGATACATGTCAAGGTGGTCCTAGATACATGTCAGGGTCCTAGAGACATGTCGAGGTGGTGCTAGATACATGTCAAAGGTGGTCCTAGATACATGTCGAGGTGGTCCTAGACACATGTTAAGGTGGTGCTATATACATGTTGAGGTGGTCCTAGACACCACATGTCGAGGTTGTCCTATATACATGTCGAGGCTGGTCCTTGATACATGTCGAGGTGGTCCCTAGACACATGTCGAAGTGGTGCTATATACATGTGCTATATACATGTCGAGGTGGTGCTATATACATGTCGAGGTGGTCCTAGAGAGGTGTCGAGGTGGTCCTATGTCGAGGTGTACAAGGTGGTCCTAGATACATGTCGAGGTGGTCCTTGATACATGTCGAGGTGGTCCGAGATACATGTCGATGTGGTGCTATATACATGTCGAGGTGGTCCTATATACATGTCAAGGTGGTCCTACGTGTCGATGTGGTCCTAGATACATGTCGAGGTGGTCCTATATACATGTCGAGGTGATCTTACGTGTCGAGGTGGTGCTATGTACATGTCCAGGTGGTCCTATAGACATGTCAAGGTGGTCCTAGATACATGTTGAGGTGGTCCTATATACATGTCAAGGTGATCCTAAGTGTCGAGATGGTGCTATGTACATGTCCAGGTGGTGCTATATACATGTCGAGGTGGTCCTATAGACATGGCAAGGTGGTCCTAGATACATGTCGAGGTGGTCCTACGTGTCGAGGTGGTCCTAGATACATGTCGAGGTGGTCCTACGTGTCGAGGTGGTGCTAGATACATGTCGAGGTGGTCCTATCGACATGTTGAGGTGGTCCTATATACATGTTGAGGTTGTCCTAGATACATGTCAAGGTGGTCCTACATATTAAGGTGGTCCTAGCTACATGTCGAGGTGGTCCTAGCTACATGTCGAGGTGGTCCTAGATACATGTCGAGGTTGTTCTACATGTCGAGGCGGTGCTATATACATGTCAGGGTGGTCCTAGATACACTTCAAGGTGGTCCTAGATACATGTCAAGGCCTTTACCTACTTCAGAGGCCGTGCAGTCAGTCCCGTCCCTACTCAACTGGCCCACGGTGCAGAGGAAGTACCCCTGGGGGATGTTGTTGCTGCTTGGAGGGGGGTTCGCACTCGCTGATGTCTGTGAGGTAGGACTACGCTGGATGTTCATGCTGCTGGTGTTCCTGGGTACTGAAGGTGGATGGTCTTCGCACTGGCTGATGCCTGGCAAGTCGGACCAGGGTAGTGACTGGCCTTCAGTCATAAGTTAATCTGGTCCAGTCTCGAGTATAATAGCCAGATATAATAACCAACAAAAAACGGAAACTGTACGTCCGGGCGTATCATATCTTCATTGAAAAGATGTTCTGAAGTAGTATATAATAATGATGGTTCTATTACAGGGTACCTTATAGGCTTATTTCTACGTAATTCCGCTCCCAGCGCCTAGTATAAAATAGTGATTTTCGAGCAGAGACATCATTCGATGTACAGCCGAGCTCGCCAGCCTAGACCCTTTTTCGCTAGGGCTACCTATTTTTTCATCAACTACTGACTAGACCTCGACATGCCGAGTGGAGTTTCCTTTATCGAGAGCACAAAAATGGTCAGGACTACTATGATTGGAACTACTTTTTGCATTTTTTGCATCCGCAACAGTAGTCGGAAATTTCCAATTAGAGATTTGGTAGTTCAATGTATAGCACTACATATAGCAGAAGATGGCAGCCGAAACGACTTTCAAACAAATGGGCCTGCGGGTCGAAAAGTCTGTAGGAGCACATCTACTCTTAGAAAATACTGTAGACAGCAATGTTGTGTCGAATATCGCCAGCATCGACTATCTTACTGGCCATCTTGGTAGAACAAATCTACAACCTTTGGAAGATCTACCTACTTTCGTAGACGATATATACGTGTTTGGCTTCTTCCAACGCAAAGACTGAGTTTGCAAGAACGCCAAAGTATCCTGTGCGACTAGAAGGGAAGGTTTGCTTGGAGTTTGCCTAGTTTGCACCTAGTTTGTCTAGTTTGTACCTAGGTTCTACCATATAGACAATGTTGTAGATATAGAGTACAAACAAAATGCCTTCAAAAAGACAACTATCACAAAATAAAACATGGAATACAGCTGCAAATACGACCACAGAACCGTCTACCAACACCCTCTTGCCCACCGGAGAGAAAGCTCCAAATCCGACGTCGACCTCCAGCTACAGAACCGTCGACTGCGCCCACTGTCCAGGACTTCTACGACCGCTTGGGGAGGCTCGAGGCTCGTGTGTAGCAAACCGCGACGATGTTGTCGTCTCGTGTGGAGCAAACCACGAATTTGTTGGTCGACATCTTGTCTAGACTAGACAAGGACGACGACGACAAAGAACTCCGTGAGGAAATAGAAGAGGGACAAGAAGAGACCCATCTGGATATCCAGAAGGTGCGGCAAATGCTAGAATCGATGCAAAAGTGGACCTACCTTTCGATAGCTGCCGTGTTTCTCTGGAAGGCCGTCTACAAGACCTGGAAGCACAGCACGCCACCGGTCGAAAGACCGGTCGACAAACAGGCCAACGAGATGAAGACAGCCACGCCCCAACCAGTTTCCAAGGTCTACCCCAGGCAGCCCCACTACATGTAGTAGAAAAAAATATATGTGTACTCAATTGGAAATATAGTATATAGAACTACATATTTTTGCAGCAATGCAAATTGTGTACAAGAGAGGAAATCCACCCCGCTTCCCATTCGAGGCATTCGACAAAGCAGAGGCTGCATACTGGAAAGAGGACCCTATGGACCCTGTAGACGAAATACTACGAGAAATGGCTGGGGGAAAGCCCAATAGACCAACCAGCTCGTATACTAGGCCACTTTGGCAAACATACAGCAAAACGGTTTGCAAATCGTAGCAGAATGTATATCGTTGGGTACGCGAGAGGTATTCTATTCTGTATCCCTGGTGGGACTATTTGTTTCTAGCTGTATACTACAGACACCAGTCTATCTTTGTTTATTTGTGGTGTTGTCATTTCTGGACCTACTCTACAGAGAAGCAAGCTGTCTGCTTTCCGCAGGGCTTCTACTCCGACAAGTTTTTCTATTTCCTTCTCTAGAAAGTATCCATATGTCAGTATTTCGATGTCTGTGGTTGGGTTCCCATCTTCCCCCACTGGCAGCAGATACAATACAATTCTTGCTTTCCCTCGGAATGTTGCAGCAGCAAACTTTCTGCACATGTATTTTCCAGGCTCGACATCTAGAAGTTTGGTTATATCCTATGGAAGTGGGGCTATTGCAGTCTCTACCACAATGGTTTGCATTTTTTCGTCTAGCAGGTCGTTGTAGTCTTGCTCTATCTCTTCGGTTTCTATAGAAGATAGCTTTCTAGGATCTGGGGCAACTACTACGGCAATAGGATTCCAGAATATGGTCTTTCCATCTTTCTTGAATGTTCTGGTGTGTTCTATGTGGATGTGTAGGCCAACAGGGTATTCTTCATTGCTGGCCAAGCCTCTTGGTATCCAACACGTTTTTCGTCCGTATTTGTCCGTAGTGGTCTCCACAAAGTCGCTCCAATCTTTTGTTTGCCCAAACCACAATTGGCATTTCTACGCCTTTTTGCAACAAGACTACTCTGCTGGCTGTTTGTCCTCCTGGTTGTTTGCGGTATCCTAGAATGGGCCATGTAGTATTTGTAACGTCTGCTATTTGTTTCGTTTGTGTACCTCTTTGCGAGCTTCTTTCGATCGCTTTGTGTATTCCTTTTTCTCCCTTACTATTTCTCCTAGATTTGTTCTACCAAGATGGCCAGGAAGATAGTCGACGCTGGCGATATTCGACACAAGATTGCTGTCTACAGTATTTTCTAAGAGTAGATGTGCTCCTACAGACTTTTCGACCCGCAGGCCCATTTGTTTGAAAATCGTTTCGGTTGTCATCTTCTGCTATATGTAGTGCTATACATTGAACTACCAAATCTCTAATTGGAAATTTCCGACTACTGTTGCGGATGCAAAAAATGCAAAAAGGTAGTTCCAATCCTTTAAAAAAGGTAGCACCATTTTTGTGCTCTCGATAAAGGAAACTCCACTCGGCATGTCGAGGTCTAGTCAGTAGTTGATGAAAAAATAAGTAGCCCTAGCGAAAAAGGGTCTAGGCTGGCGAGCTCGGCTGTACATCGAATGATGTCTCTGCTCGAAAATCACTATTTTATACTAGGCGCTGGGAGCGGAATTGCGTAGAAATAAGCCTATAAGGTACCCTGTAATAGAACCATCATTATATAACTACTTCTGATACTTTTGTTTGTAAATTTCAAACATTCAAATTAGGTCTTCATAATTATTGGAATTGAACATGGTGACTCTAGTCCTGGTAGTAGGGAATACAAGTCACGGAAAGCTGATTTCACGTAGTAGTTTCATTTGTTCACGCACATTGAAACAATTAAAAATTTAACCAGTATGTTATTGAAGAAGTATGAAAGAGTTTCTTGTTTCCATAAATTTATGCGCCTTGCAAAATATTTACGAGATATATTTTGTCTTCAAAGAAAACAAAATGTTCTCAAAGTTACAAAAGATACGACTTACGACACATTTGATTCTGTATTATTCCTTATCGTTCTTTAATGCCCTCCAGCATTAAGTGACGCCAGTTAACAAATAAATATGAAAAGCATCAACGCTGAAGCCAGCCCCACTTTAGCAATGACTGTAACCATGTCTTTAGCAATTGGGTGAACACTAACTTTAGCAATGTTTGTAACAATGTCTTTAGCAATTGGGTGAACACTAACTTTAACAATGTTTGTAACAATGTCTTTAGCAATTGGGTGAACACTAACTTTAACAATGTTTGTAACCATGTCTTTAGCAATTGGGTGAACACTAACTTTAACAATGACTGTAACAATGTCTTTAGCAATTGGGTGAACACTAACTTTAACAATGACTGTAACAATGTCTTTAGCAATTGGGTGAACACTAACTTTAACAATGTTTGTAACCATGTCTTTAGCAATTGGGTGAACACTAACTTTAGCAATGTTTGTAACAATGTCTTTAGCAATTGGGTAAACACTAACTTTAACAATGACTGTAACCATGTTCTTTAGCAATTGGGTGAACACTAACTTTAACAATGACTGTAACAATGTCTTTAGCAATTGGGTGAACACTAACTTTAGCAATGACTGTAACAATGTCTTTAGCAATTGGGTGAACACTAACTTTAGCAATGTTTGTAACCATGTCTTTAGCAATTGGGTGAACACTAACTTTAGCAATGACTGTAACAATGTCTTTAGCAATTGGGTGAACACTAACTTTAACAATGACTGTAACAATGTCTTTAGCAATTGGGTGAACACTAACTTTAGCAATGTTTGTAACAATGCAATTGGGTGAACACTAACTTTTTGTAACAATGTCTTTAGCAATTGGGTGAACACTAACTTTAGCAATGCAATGTTTGTAACAATGTCTTTAGCAATTGGGTGAACACTAACTTTAGCAATGAACACTAACTTAGCAATGACTGTAACAATGTCTTTAGCAATTGGATGAACACTAACTTTAACAATGTTTGTAACAATGTCTTTAGCAATTGGGTGAACACTAACTTTAGCAATGACTGTAACAATGTCTTTAGCAATTGGGTGAACACTAACTTTAACAATGACTGTAACAATGTCTTTAGCAATTGGGTGAACACTAACTTTAGCAATGAGCTGTAACAATGTCTTTAATGACTGTAACAATGTCTTTAGCAATTGGGTGAACACTAACTTTAACAATGACTGTAACAATGTCTTTAGCAATTGGGTGAACACTAACTTTAGCAATGACTGTAACCATGTCTTTAGCAATTGGGTGAACACTAACTTTAGCAATGACTGTAACAATGTCTCTTTAGCAATTTGATGAACACTAACTTTAACAATGTTTGTAACAATGTCTTTAGCAATTGGGTGAACACTAACTTTAGCAATGACTGTAACCATGTCTTTAGCAATTGGGTGAACACTAACTTTAGCAATGTCTGTAACCATGTCTTTAGCAATTGGGTGAACACTAACTTTAGCAATGACTGTAACCATGTCTTTAGCAATTGGGTGAACACTAACTTTAGCAATGACTGTAGCAATGGCTGCAACAACATCTATAACAATTCCTTGGTGCTACTGTTTTGTTAGTTTTGGCACACAGTGTCTGGAATGTACATCTGAGATGCGTGAGACAAAGTGTTTTGTATCATTCAGAAATCCGGACTGTCCCGGTGGATCGGCGGTGAGTTGTCTGCCCTCAGCTCCCTGGAGCCGTGGCTGATGAACCTCCTGCTCACCCTTCTCATCGCCCTGTGTACCGAGATCACCAGCAACGCCGCCACGGCATCCCTCCTCCTGCCTATCCTGGCCCAGCTGGTGAGTAAACACACATACACGCACGCACGCACGCACGCACGCACGCACGCGGAGGAATAATCTCAACACAATTGCTGGTGAGCTGAGAGACAAGAGTTAGCTCCACTTATATACCAAAGAAATTAGTACATAAGGGAAAGGCCCATCGTACCCTGTAGTTCCTTCCAGAAATATGTCTAAATATAGCACAAATCTAAATATAGCACACCACAGACCACACTCACACACACGTTGTACTGAGATTCACACGTGAGTGCCAGTCTCAAGAAAAGCCAGTGTATCTTGAACATTATAGAACATTATAGCAACGTGCTGTTGTGATTCCAGGCCATGAACCTGTCCATCAACCCGCTCTACCTCATGTTCTCCTGCGCCATCTGCACATCCTTCGCCTTCATGCTGCCGGTGGCGACACCACCAAACGCCATCGTCTTCTCCAACGGCTATCTGGAGGTCAAGGACATGGTAGGGCCTCAACATTTTGCTCTCATTTTAATCAAATTGACCTTTATACACCAATGTAATTGCATTTTGTCTTATTCCTATACGATATTGTTATTACAAAAACGCTACGACACGGAACAAGTCGTGAATTTGTCAGTTGATTTTGATGCCATTGAGGTCATGCTGCTGTTAATGACGTCCCTGTTGTCTCCCCACAGATCCAGGCCGGCTCTGTCATGAATATACTGTGTGTGGCTATCCTCAACGTGGCTGCCAACACGTGGGGTAAAGCCTACTTCAACCTCGGCGTCATGCCCTTAGAATTCTCTACCAACATCACCGCCGTCGATGTGGTCGTCAAGAACATAACGCTGCCGAACTGAGTGACGTTCATCAACAGCGTGTATTCTCCTCAATCAGATAAAGATGATATTTGACAAAATGATGATGTTTGTTTGATGTTTAACCCTCTCAGCAATATTCCAGCTATATAACTGCGGTCTGTAAATATTCGAGTCTACTCCAGACAATCCAGTGATCAACGGTATGGTCATCATATGAACATTCAGTTGTTCAGTTTACACTTTGACAAGGGATATAAGCAGTGTGTGTGGAAGCAGGCAGCTGTATCGGACCCGTCCAGTATGACCTCCACAACGTGGAAGTAGAAGAAGGATTTATAGTTTCTTTTGCCCTGTACTCATTATCTACAACACTTTTGCCGTCTACATTCAAACTCCAGCGGCTGAGGTTGTGCCTTTGAGCGTTTGTCCCAGTTGTCAGTGGGATTATAATTATCATTTGTCAGTGTGAGTGAGTGATAGACTGTATACTTCCAGCAATAATCTAGCTTAATCACACGCTGTAACGCCGATGAGAGCCGAACTAAGTTTTGTAAGTGACGCGGAAGTAATGTAACATGTGGGCCACCGAGCCTACATCTGAGTATTATTGAGGTGAAAACGTGCGGTTATGGCCCGGGAAAGCGAAATCTGGACCAAACCTCCTCAATTTAGGTGTCGCTTTCGCGGGAACGGTAAAGCTACAGTGAACACTGAATTGAGCGTTCCCGGGACTCTCAATACACAAGAAAAACAAAGAAATGTGAGTAGTCGTCTGATGCCGTAGTCATGGTAGAAATTTAATAAATAGATAAATACGTTTAACATTAGCAAGTCATGGTGAAGCATGCATATTATTTTCTAGCATTTGTGATAAACCATTGTGAATTATAACTGACATTTTATTTTGATGTACATTAGTAGCAAGTTTAAACCAAACTGAAATTATTCACTTTTTAATATATACAGAGATAGGAATTCGTCCAGTCTCTCCGCAGAGCATTTAGGATGGTGTACTCTTGTGTAGTTTCAGGACAGATTTCATGAATAGCCTGTGAACATTTTCTAAAATGTCTATATTTGAATGTCCCCACACCTCGCAACCATATAACATGATTGGTAGGATCATGCAGTCAAAACATCTACACAAACAATCTATAGGAATAAGGATATTTCTAGCGTTTGAGGAGATAATAAACGCTACTTCTTATGCTTGGTCGTGGAGTGCGAGAAAGGTTGAGTTTAGTCACATCGGCATAATTCCAACCATATGGTGACGAAATCAAGTCTGCATTCATAAACATTTTAAATGAGTTTTATATTAAAAACATATTTATTCATGGCATTGTTATTTAAAAACAGAAAATGTCATAGTACTAAATTCAAAAGCACGCACTTCGTTATTCACATTACATAGTTACAGTTTATGATACAGATCAACTTCCCTCAGGTAGTCCACTATGAGATCGCTCACGCTGTAACGCCGGGAAAACAGGTACATGAGTATAACAAAGGAGTACATACAAAATGTACAACAAGATGACAAAATGATACATCAATTAAAGTGTTTACAACAATCTTAATGAACTTGGATACATTTTAAGAGTAGATATTTTCCTTGAAAAAAGTTGACGGAACTTTGACAAATTCTGCCAGGAACAATAAGGTTCATTTAACAATGATCATAATTCATTACATGAATTAATAAAACTATAGTTAAGTAGGGCCACGTACGTGCTGAAACTGGAAACAGCTGAAACGTCATCCCAGTTAAGCGGCTCACAGATCGAGTATTGGGGTCGCGCGCTAATCTGAAGTACGGTAATCCGATGTTTTCATAGCAATTCGCTTTCGCGGCACTTCTAGCACAACTTGGGTTTTCGCTTTACCGGGAATAGGGAACATTGAAATTTCGCTTTCCCGGGCCGACACCAAACGTGCATATGTAACATTTAAAAGGAACAGTGCGTGAAATATTTTCATCGTTAATCTTGTGAATTATTTTGGGATTTGAACCAGAGAAAGAATTCTTAAAGTTCCATTATAAACGCAACCAAGCAGCTGTGCAACCAAATGCGCCACATTTGGAAGAAGCATGAGATATTTGAGACAAATCACCAGCACTTTAAAGGGTCAGACAACCAGACGCATCCCTGGCGGTTAAGACGGACAACACTTGCTCGAGAGTGGAGAAGAGTTCTCTTCACGTATGAGTCACGTTTCTCTTTTTATAACACATTTGAACGTTTACTTACATCAGGCCATGTAGTTTTGAAGGGGATTGTTTTAGAGGTGAGGGCGTAAAGATCTGGGGTGGGATAACAGCTGTTAGCAAGGACGCCCATTGTGATTAAAGGGGGCGTGAATAATACTAGGTACCGAGATCAGGTCGCTTTATCTCTATTGCAACAGGATGGCGCTGGAGTGGTTTCAACACCATAACGCCAGACCAGAGTTGTACAGCAGTACCTTAATCAGACCACTGTTAATGTGTTACCCTGGCCCGTAAGATTCCCTGATTTGTAACCCACTGAACGCTTCTTGGATGAAAAGGAGCGACGTTTACGACGTCATCTGAATCCTCCAACAACGCTGCAGGAACTCGACCAAATGCGTCTTCTGATATGGAATGATTTTCCCTAGGGTCCCGTTGTACAAACTAACCTTAGCGCTAAGACTACCTTAAGTCTATGTTAAGGTATGGGAGTTGTACAACGGGACCCAGGACGTCAATCGACGTTTAATAGCCTCTTTGAGGCGAAGGTGTCCGGCCTGCATCAACGCACAAGGTGGACACACACTCGCTGCTGACCGCGAACCCTCTCTTGTGTAGTGGCTCATTTGCTAATGGCTGTTTATCAATATCTTATGAACTGGTGATCGTTTCATATCTTGAAGCATCAGTCACAATATTGTCTGATCCAAAGTCGAGTTTTTGATATAACGGGACCATTGCTGACTACGAGCTTAAAACAGAAAGAAACATTGAATCAATACCCGGATACAAATTGTTCTTTACAAGATAAAGTATTTTTCTTTCCACACATTTGTCTTGTTTATGTGAAACATACCTTCAGAAGACAACGTGTTTACCTGCACCCATCTGTAAGGTTCATAACACCAAATAACAAAATGCAGGAAGTCTGGTGTCCTAGATTGATATACACACGGGTATGGAGGTCCAGAGGGGACATCACTTTCTCGCCTTCCATCATGGCCCAGAGGAAGCGATATTGCTCTCTGGAAACGGGCAGTTATGCTGGGTTGGGGTTTTCTCCACAAAAGAGGGCACAGATATGTTTCCATTTCAAGTTGTACTTGTGAAAAAATGATCGAATTGTCTCTCTGGTCACTTATGAAAGTATAGATGCCATTGTATTCTACTGTATGCATGTACATATACATGAAGATCTGTATACGTCAAGAGACACCATACAATTTGATCACAACTCAAATGAAAAAAGACTACATAGGGACACCACCATTATGACTGTGTGCCGCGATTGTAGAGACTGTGCTGCAATACCCAGCAGCCATGACAGATTAATCCTCAACGTATATGAAAGGGGTAATCATTAATCTCTTTAGCAGTAGATTTAGATTTCAACCTGATTTATATAGAGCGTATGGTCATGACCCTCCACTCGCTAACGTCGCAATGGTTCCATTAGGGCCATAAAACTATCACTTAGGTTTCACTGTTGGTTCGTTTTGACTTTTTTTTTTTTCAAAATAAATCACCGGCATCTAACCAATACTTTCCATAAGTGAACAGAGAGAAAATTTCACAATTCCCTTCTCAGATAAATTTGAAATGAAAAAACATTCTGCTCACTTTTATGTAGAAACCGATATCCCCTAAAGATTCCCTGTTTCCCATCCAAATATTCCCATACCAGCTCTGAATGGTCCGCCCCTATTTTACAAGAAAGTGTAGTTTAACAATTCGTACCGTTGTTTGAGGCTCGCTGGCTTGGTTGACACATGTCATCTTATCTCAGTTGCGTAGATCGATGCTCATGCTGTTGTTCACTGGATTGTCTGGTCCAGACTCAATTATTTACAGACCGCCGCCACATATAGCTGGGACATTGCTGAGTGCGGCGTAAAACTAAACTCACTCACTCACTCACACACTCTTCGTCAAGTAAAAACATGTTACGTGTCACCACTTGGTGGTCGAGACGGGGAAGTAGCTTATTGTGAGACAGTGATAGAGCGAGAAATACAGATAGTTTGCATTGCATTCACGCCTCGTGTTATCGTTTTCTCACTTTCTCGCGGAAGAGAAAAGCGATGTCCCGTCTGGGCCACCATACATGGAGCGGTCAGCTGACGGGTGTATATCACATGTATCCTCACCCTGACAGTCAAGAGGTTGTATATTCCCGAACAGTTATTTATCTCTGTAGTTGTATATCTCACCGGTGGGCCGGTAAGTCGATTGTCGGATTTTTTCCACATTAATATACCTTATATATGATGTACATTGTGAAGTCAGTATTCATCTTTACCGTCTTACCTACACAGAAACGTGAGTTCAGCTATAGACATGGCGAGGGATGAGTACACCATTGAGACAGAAAGTGCATCTCCGGCTCGCACAGGGAGCATACCACGTGACTTATGGGCAACAAAGAGAACGTTACTGGTCATCGTTTTACCACTGGTGCTTCTACCGCTACCAATACTTTCAGACGCAACGGTAGGTGGCGCTTGTACCACTACACGCACACTCAACGGTAGGTGGTGCCTTTGTTTCTACCATTACTGTCCGACACAACGGTAGATGGTGCTTTTGTCTCTACCCAAACTCTTAGACTCAACGGTAGGTAGCGCTTTTCTCTCTATCCATACTGTCAGACTCAACGGTAAGTGGCGCTTTTCTCTCTACCCATACTGTCAGACTCAACGGTAGGTGGCGCTTTTGTCTCTACCCATACTGTCAGACTCAACGGTAGGTGGTGCTTTTGTCTCTACCCATACTGTCAGACTCAACGGTAGGTGGTGCTTTTGTCTCTACCCATACTGTCAGACTCAACGGTAGGTGGCGCTTTTGTCTCTACCCATACTGTCAGACTCAACGGTAGGTGGCGCTTTTGTCTCTACCCATACTGTCAGACTCAGACTCAACGGTAGGTGGCGCTTTTGTCTCTACCCATACTGTCAGACTCAACGGTAGGTGGCGCTTTTGTCTCTACCCATACTGTCAGACTCAACGGTAGGTGGCGCTTTTGTCTCTACCCATACTGTCAGACTCAACGGTAGGTGGTGCTTTTGTCTCTACCCATACTGTCAGACTCAACGGTAGGTGGCGCTTTTGTCTCTACCCATACTGTCAGACTCAACGGTAGGTGGCGCTTTTGTCTCTACCCATACCGTCAGACTCAACGGTAGGTGGTGCTTTTGTCTCTACCCATACTGTCAGACTCAACGGTAGGTGGCGCTTTTGTCTCTACCCATACTGTCAGACTCAACGGTAGGTGGTGCTTTTGTCTCTACCCATACTGTCAGACTCAACGGTAGGTGGCGCTTTTGTCTCTACCCATACTGTCAGACTCAACGGTAGGTGGCGCTTTTGGACTCCATACTGTCAGACTCAACGGTAGGTGGCGCTTTTGTCTCTATCGATACTGTCAGACTCCATGGTCGGTGGCGCTTTTGTCTCTACCCATACTGTCAGACTCAACGGTAGGTGGCGCTTTTGTCTCTACCCATACTGTCAGACTCCATGGTAGGTGGTGCTTTTGTCTCTACCCATACTGTCAGACTCCATGGTAGGTGGCGCTTTTGTCTCTACCCATACTGATAGACTCCATGGTAGGTGGTGCTTTTGTCTCTACCCATACTGTCAGACTCAACGGTAGGTGGCGCTTTTGTCTCTACCCATACTGACAGACTCAACGGTAGGTGGTGATTTTGTCTCTACCATACTGTCAGATAACTACAACAAATATGAAGGGACGACCCCTCTCAGGTCGTCGTTCCCTGTACCGCTATGTAGCAAGTTATAATAGAATAATAATTTAGATTCTTATATTGCGCTAATCTCCACACCAACGTGTGCTCAAAGCGCTAACAGAGTTCATATTAAGATGCTTTTTGAGCTGAGCCATAGTTGGAGTTGATTTCATATCAGTTGAAAGAGCGTTCCATTCAACGGCTGCATGTATATGCGAAGGACCAAATGTCTTCAGCTTGATGTTGGGAACCTTAAAGCGGCCTTCACACGGAAAACTAAAGTTTGACAACACGTGTTGAACTTTTAGAGTGTGAACAACTCGCCATTAGCACCAATTTCAGAGTTGTCAAACTGTTGTCGAGAAATAGGATCGGTCTCTATTCTCATCAACTTTTCCATCAAACTTTAGGTGTTGTCAAACTCGAGTTTGACGTCTGAAGTGTTGTCAAACAATCGCAGTCAATGTAATTGTCACGTGACCACACCGATATAGACATGGCGCTCAAATGACACGAAAGTTTGACAACATGTGTTTGACGCGTGAAAACGCGAGTTTGACAACTTTAAAAGTTCAACATCTGTTGTCAAACTTTAGTTTGCCGTGTGAAGGCCGCTTAAGTAGCATTTAATCGCTGGAACGGAGTGTTCTTGTAGGGACATAGTCTTCTACTAGATCACACAGATAACCTGAGGGTGAGGATCGTATAATGTAGCCGTTCTTTGACCGGCAGCCAGTGAAGATACCTGATTACTGGCGTGATGTGACAGGACCTTTATGACAGTGTGACAATTCAAGTCGCTGAGTTCTGGATGTTTTGCAGCCTTCTGATTTGCTGTGCTGGAGCCCCTACAAGCAGACTATCACGATAGTCAATCAAGGCGAGGAGCATTGAACGTGCAAGTGCTGCAGCTGTTTGTTCTGTGAGAAGGTGGTGTATGTTACCTATGTTTCGGAGGTGAAAGTAGCATTTTTTTGACGAGGTCATTGATGTGCTTGTCCATGTTGAGTGATGTGTCTAACTTCACACCCAGGTTTCTAGCATCTGTCGAAAAGTTGATTTCATCAATATCGACTGTATCATGAGTTGCTTTGATCCTTTGCAGCCTCTTGTCGGGTCCTACGAGCAAAGCCTGTGTCTTATCGCTGTTTAACTTCAGCATGTTGGCGTTCATCCAGTCTTTCGTTCTTCCTCAATTAACAATTGGTGGTTTGGACATCGGAACTTACAAAGTGTAATACGATAAACTGGCAAAGTAACTGACAATAAATACTCCTTACATTTAATTTCATTTTTAATAGATTTATATAACTGAAGTTTAGAATAACTTGAGATACTTTCAAAGAACTGATTGTCTATAGCAGCACAACTTTCTTTAAACCTTGAAATTAAACTTTTAATGCAGCCTACATCTTGATTAGCCTACACATAACCGAACCCATAGCTAAACAACAAGTCCTTAACATGTGATGCCCAAAACTTCCTTCCTCCACTAAACTATATTGATAATTATAAGTATTTTGTAGAATATCATTATCTTGTTGAAACAACAAGTTTACCGATGTCTAGTAATCTTAACATACTGATGGACACGGAGGGAATGTCTACAGCTACCGAATTAAGCGTAGTTCTACCCAGATGCAAAATATCTTTACACAAACGATCATGAATCCGAGCAACGCCAGAATCGAATCCCCAAACCTCTGTACCATACATAAGGATAGATAGGAATTTTAACATCGAAAATATGTAATACAGTTCTGTATGGAAGGTTTAAATAACTATGCTGAGTAGAGAGGATAATTCTAAGAACCGTCAAAGCCTGTTCGGAAAGAACCTTCTGAGAAATGTACCATGAACCTGAACTTGGAAAAGTACCCCGAGATATTTATAAGTACCAACAACATCTAACCATCGTTAAAGAAAAACATCTCATATTTTCAAAGCTTACCAGCCTTGAACATAGATACTATTCTGGGTTTCATCTTCTTTTTATTGTATGGTACAACGTTTCAGGACTTGTTCTGGCCCCATCATCAGGTAGAACTAAAGAACAGTAACCCCTTCCAGTAACAGTAACAGTTAGTGTTCTTTAGTTCTACCTGATGATGGGGCCAGAACAAGTCCTGAAACGTTGTACCATACAATACAAAGTAAACAAAGGACGTTACGAGTCATAAGCCCACTCAGCAGTTGCAATCCTCAGTTGCAAATATCCAGACCCCGATTTTCAAGCACCTGATGCACCTCATGCCTATGATTCCTTCTGTTTGTTCTTCATGAATAGAGGTGTTGTAGGGGTGACCCAGTCATTGTGTAAAGGGATATTTCAATTTTTATTTGATGTATGATTTTTCGATATTTTATATATCTTCTTAGAGGAGCATATATGAAATCTGTATTGACCTTATTCTCGACAGATAAACAACAGAGTGTACTTTCCCCGTTGCATTCGTCACAGTTACGTTATGGGAGCTAAAGTAGGGGTTACGTTGTAAGGCAAATCTGTCAATGTGTAAATACCTCAGACCAACTTTTGACCAAAAACTGTGTCAGAGGGTTCATATATAGGTCTAACTTAGCTGTTTCAAAGACAAATGTTTACTTAGGAGATAGAATCCGTTGAAGAGACCAAATATACACATACAAGCAAGTCAAAACATTAATTACACAACAGTCTCGTTTCCTGTTGACTAGGTTCCGTCCTATTGCGCAACTTAGTACAATAACGAGTCCAGAATTTTGAGACCAATTATTATTATTTATTATATTATATGATATTTATTTAGCGCACATATCCAGGCAACTAGTGCTTGCTCAAGGCTTCTTTAACTGGATACATAAATATTAATCAGTATTATTTGATACATCTAAGCGCTTGTATATTGCAACACTACGCTCCTTATAATCCTTGCAAACATGTCGTGCAGCGTGCTCTGTCGTACATCGAGCTCTGACAAACAGAAACCTGGAAATCCTGGAAATCTCAAAACGAGGCTCTGCCGCTAGAAAAGTTTGGCGGTGTGGTACGGACTTGATATTATATCAATCACATTGTACGTTATTGTACTGCATTGATAAAGCGCAAACAAGGCATAACAGGTGTAACCAGTGAGCCAGATGTATTGAGCCATGAATCATTTTACGACCTCATCAAACTGGGGCAGTATGTGATGTCTTAGTTAAGATCATGCTGGCTACACCGCGCCTGGAATATAGAAATACGATGTTATCAAAGTTTAGAATTAAAGTGCATTTGTAAATACCATTTTCTTATGAAACAAGAAATTGGAATTCAGTGTAACCATAGTTGTTTGTGATGTCTATTTTCACTTTCACACGAGAAAATTCGGATCGGCTGAAAAGTAGGTTATTATCTGAATAGGTTAATGAGACTCATGTTTCGGTTTGACCTTTTCTTCCTTAAAGTGTCTACATGTCGTAAGTGTTCAGGTACACGGGAGCGAGTTACAACAATTAAATCCTCAGAAAGGTTTTCAAAACGTAACAACTTGTACCAAGTTCCCATTTATTGCAGGTCAACAACTGACTTGCTCAGGCCTGTGTTTGTGACGATGCAGTGTACGTTCTCTTTTTGGCGAACACCTGGTATCATCACCACCTGGTAGTAATTAGTACATACAGGCTCATAATATCGTCCCAATCGTACAATTTACTCTGCTGTTAGAATAAATTTCTTATAATATGGAAAGGCTTCTTAATGATATCAAAACCATCAAGTATTGCAAAGAATATGTGCAACTTGGAATATCAGAAGGTGATATGGTAAAGTATTGTTTGGGTCCGAATTAAGACTGTTAAACATATATAATGATAGACAAAGGATGAGCTATGTTAAGACTATCGATCATGTGAGCAAAGCAGGTACATAACAAAACTTAGGGATCCGTAATGATAAGTGTCCGTGTAATCAATATATTCATTTCAAAACAGTCAGGTTTGGGAATTACAACCAAACACTAAATGTTCAGTATAGAAAAGACTGGATACAGAAGCTACCGGACTAATTTTAGTAACATTTGAACATGAGCAAGTCTTTGACCGGAGTTAATATACTTCGAGGCTGATGAAGTATAAACATATAACAGCAAACAAATCAAAGTGAAGGTCTTCATCAATGCTCCATGTCCTCGCAGAAATGTGGGGAAATCAACATTTGACATTCTCGTTAATGAGTCTAATGTACATTTTCACACCAGGGCCCCTATTCTCGAAACGTTCGTAGCCCTAAGAATTCTTAACTTTGATCGTAGCCAATGTGTTAAGAATGGGCTTAAGAAGTTCGTAGGGCTACGAACGTTTCGAGAATAAGGGCCCTGGACTCCAACCATTGCAAATATAAGAAAGCAAAACCTAGTTATCAGAGTAGTCCGAAAGTATCAGATTTCATTTCCGGGACACACGCAGGGGTAAGGTGTTTTCTTGCAGCTGGGGTTTTCACAATAAAGACGGGAATAATCAACTGATATGTTTACAGAAACCTTAGAAAGGAAAACATTTCCTGAACGAAATGGAAAATGGCATATATTTTCATATGATGAATTCATTTCTATTATTTCTTCCAGGAGACAAAATGTGCGTACGGCCTTGCTGTAATGGCGGTGTTCTGGATCACGGAGAGCCTCCCCCTGGCGGTGACCGCTCTTCTCCCAATGGTTGTCTTCCCTTTGTTCGGGGTCATGAAGGCGACTGACGTAGCGAGGAACTACATCCAGGTGTGTTGCGTTATGTATTAAACTACATCCAAGGTTTAACTGATGCACACCTGCAGGACGAACAGCACTGATGTAATTTACCCATATAATATGGGTATATATTGAAAATGTGGATTAAGTAATTTGAATGGGGTATTTCATAAAAACATGACAGGTCTATTACCTTCCAATAGTTTTTGAATAGATTTGAACATAATGTAGGAACTGCTCATATGTTGTAGTGAGGGGAGTCATGAAACAGTTCCTCGAGGTGAGGGGAGTCATGAAACAGTTCCTGGAGGTGAGGGGAGTCATGAAACAGTTGAAATAGTTCCTTGAGGTGAGGGAGTCATGAAATAGTTCCTCGAGGTGAGGGGAGTCATGAAATAGTTCCTCGAGGTGAGGGGAGTCATGAAACAGTTCCTCGAGGTGAGGGGAGTCATGAAACAGTTCCTCGAGGTGAGGGGAGTCATGAAACAGTTCCTTGAGGTGAGTCATGAAATAGTTCCTTGAGGTGAGGGGAGTCATGAGTTCCTTGAGGTGAGGGGAGTCATGAAATAGTTCCTCGAGGTGAGGGGAGTCATGAAATAGTTCCTCGAGGTGAGGGGAGTCATGAAACAGTTCCTCGAGGTGAGGGGAGTCATGAAATAGTTCCTCGAGGTGAGGGGAGTCATGAAACAGTTCCTCGAGGTGAGGGGAGTCATGAAATAGTTCCTCGAGGTGAAATAGTTCCTTGAGGTGAGGGGGAGTCATGAAACAGTTCCTGAGGTGAGGGGAGAGGTGAGGGGAGTCATGAAACAGTTCCTTGAGGTGAGGGGAGTCATGAAACAGTTCCTCGAGGTGAGGGAGTCATGAAATAGTTCCTTGAGGTGAAACAGTTCCTCGAGGTGAGGGGAGTCATGAAACAGTTCCTCGAGGTGAGGGGAGTCATGAAACAGTTCCTCGAGGTGAGGGGAGTCATGAAACAGTTCCTCGAGGTGAGGGGAGTCATGAAACAGTTCCTCGAGGTGAGGGGAGTCATGAAATAGTTCCTCGAGGTGAGGGGAGTCATGAAATAGTTCCTTGAGGTGAGGGTGTCGGACAGATACGATGCAATCCTAGAAACAATTCTTGCACCATAACCGCCCCCTACCTCACCCCACACATATCCGTACTCTAGCAACGTACTATTCAAAACGTAACATCTTGGGTCACTTGTTCGTTGTTTCTGACAGGAGACGACCATGTTTGGTTTCGGCGGCCTGACAATCGCCATTGCCGTGGAGAACTGCAGACTGCACAAAAGGATTGCCCTGAAGACACTCACCCTGGTCGGCGCCCAACCAAGGTGGTGAGTAGTACAACATAATTACTGACTTACAACACATCCACGTTTACTTGGCGTCAAAGTTCTATACAGGTGGAGTTTATCCACGTCAGTCATTTATATAATTCATCTCTACTCATCATTCGTCCTCAAGGTTGATGCTGGGGTTCATGGTGCCCACGTGGTTCCTATCCATGTGGATCAGCAACACCGCAACTACCGCCATGATGATCCCCATCGTCAGCGCCGTCATCGACGAACTCCGACAGATTAATCAGCGATCAAGAGACGGCCAAGTGGGCAATGGCATCGAGATGGAGCAAGGTGAGAAAACAGACATATTGAAATCAACTACACGATATATACAGCACTGATATCTCAAGGTTTGTCATCCAGGGCTTCGGGTCATCCCTTCACCCCCACTGGGAGTCGGGTTACAGCAGGTGCCCGCCTGCCCCTCTATACAGCACTGCTATCTCCAGGTTTGTCATCCAGGGCTTCAGGGTCATGGCTGTCCCTTCACCTCCACTGGGATTTCAGGTTACAGCAGGTGCCCGCCCCTCTATACAGCACGTGGCGAGAAACGAGTCAGAAGCAGAGTGCGAAATAGCCACTGGCCCGCTAGCCCGTGGCTAATAAAACTCTAGACGGGCCAGTAAATCTCCACACTCACTGGCCCGACTATCTAGTGAATTTTCGTGGGGTCATTTTGTAAATATATCACTCTCTCCTACTTGTTAAGTTATAATACACTTTCAAATCATGCAAGAGTATGGCCTGACACAAATGTTCATCATATTAGCAGCTTAATGACAAGACCCGTGTCATTCCGACAGTATCTTATTCTCATTTTTTTTCATAATCTTTTGCTTAGTTTCTACATTCAATTTTCGGGCTAGTGAATTGTTTAGTGGACTAGTAACTTTCAGACATAGCTAGCCCGACTGGCTAGCAAACTTTGGAAACTATTTCGGACGCTGGTCAGAGGATCGAGAGTCAGTGAATTGTTGACCTCATCTTAGTTGATTGTGTCGTAATACATCTGCGGCGAGGCAGAGTGCTCATAATATCAGCCATCGGTTTGTCTGGTCCAGAGTCGACCGTTTACCGAAGGCACTGTTCCGCTGAAGTTTCACTGACTATGGCAAGCTACTTATGACCCTTCATGTGTCCAGGGATGACCAACGGTGGCTACCTAGGGGATCAAGTGGGCACAAGCTTTAATGATGAAGCCGGAGCAGAAACAATTCCGGAAGAAACGTAGGTTGTCTGTTTAATATCCCGTAGTTACAACCCTTTAGGGTTTTCCTCCTATTTGTTCAGTTATTGAGATCGTACTCTGTGAGATTTTACGGCCGCTTCAATGCGCTCTGCATTTTGTTACGCTGTTAAGCAAGCCATGATTTCAACTTTCATTTTTATTATGAATTTAATGTTTATAATGTTTGCTCAACACAAATGATGACTTTTTTAAAACAAACAACACTGCTATATATAAAATTCTTCAATGTGAAGTGATATGACTGGTGTTTGTTTTTAACAGAATCAACACAATAATTGTTTTATCCAAGATTATGATATGTTAACACAATGAATTACAGGGGACAGAACTGTTTTGTCTGTCTCTGACCTCTATAATCTTGAGCTATCAGTTGTCAGTTTTCCCACAATCCTCAACACTCCGTCACATCCGGAATGTAAAACTGTTGCAGGAAAGCCAACACCACTCAAATGAATGTTCCAAAAAACCCTCCGATGCCATTCGACCCCACCGACCGCAGCCACGACTCCCCCGAATTCACCAGACTGTGTAAAGGCTTCTGTCTCTGCGTCGCCTACGCTGCCAACGTGGGCGGTACCGGGTCGCTGTCGGGATCGGGACCCAACCTCGTCATGCAGGGCCAGGCGGAGATGTGAGTGGTTCAGCGAATCAGTCTTTAATTCAGACGTCTGATAGGGCGCGATTCTCTCAGATATTAACAATCATCATTGTACTGTACAACTCTTACATGTAACTGCTCATCTATTGAATTGATAGTTTATTTCATGAAGAGATTGTATTACTGTTTAAACTTTTCACATTTGTAATTCTTCAGCTTTTTACTATTGTTTTATGAAATTTATTGTTGAGTCATTTGATGCTTTAATTGTTCAGACATAAGTATTTCTGTTCTTTCCTTGCATGTAAACTGGCGTACACAAGAAAGGACACGCCTGCACTGGGATGGGGGAAGGGATTATTTTTTTTAAAACAGTGTCATATTTTGAAACGTGTCTTGATGGTGACTGACAAGTCACAAACATTGTGTGCGTGTGGCGTGTTGCCAAAACGCTACCACAAATATCCTTCACTGGGATTGCTAGTGGTATACCTGTAAAGGCACACGTCAAAATGCAAAATATGTCCAGCAGCAGGGCGGAAGGAACCATTGGAATGTCGCAACATACCAGTGACCACCCCGCAACATGATCAATGTCTGCGCAACCGAATGCTCACTATGACGTCATAAGCATCAATTGCGTTGACAACAGTGATGGGCCGACCGTGTACTGTTGGTTTTCGGGCCGGATTATTTCGAGGCATGTAATTAACTCGTCAACATCGACAGAATCGTCTACGTTTAGAGATGAACGTAAGGCGCCGGCAACGTCCCACATTGGTACCACATCTCAGGTCTTGGCAAAACGTACACGATGTTTGTGACTTTTAATCAAAACTAAAATAATAACCCAAAAGCCCCAGGTGCGTATGTTACTTTTAAGATTTTTATTTGTTTTATTAAGACTTTAATTAATATTTCTGAAGTTTACAGACAATTTTTTCCATGGTTTAGACTTTTCGGGAAATACGGTCTTGATTCTGGCGTGAACTTCCTTACATGGATGATATTTGCCTTGCCGGGGTCGGTGATCTGTGTGACGCTGGCGTGGATGTGGCTACAGACGTTGTTCCTGGGGAAGACGTAAGTCACCAGCCGAAAACGCAAAGTAGCCCATCAAGAGAGGAGGCTAAATAAATAGTTGAATGATAATTTTTAACACAATTCACAGTGTTTTCACCCGCTTAAGAACTTAAAGATGTTTGGCTGGCCACTTCTTCTCCTTTCTTCTTCTTTTTCTTCTTCTTCTTTTTCTTGCAGAGAGGCCGGTTGGGTAGCCTAATGGTTAAAGCGTTCGCTCGTCACATGGGTACAATGTGTGAAGCCCATTTCTGGTGTCCCCCTGCCGGGATGTTGCTGGAATATTGCCAAAAGCGGCGTAAAACGAAACTCACTCACTCTTCTTGTTGAGTCCAGCAATGGTTACATAAGGAAACATATCAAGATACTGCCTCAAGGACATGCAATGTTAATCTAAGTTCTGTTTTTATTCCAGGTCTCTGTTGTGCTGTATTTCAACATCTCGAGGCCAGGAGAAAGTTACAACCGTCATTAAAGAGGAATATGAAAAAAACTCGGCAAAATGTCGTAAGTTTAACGAATATGTCACTAATATATATCCATTCAGTAAAACCGGAGAAACAGTGACAGATCAGCCTGTGAAAGCATGTGAAGCATTGTACTGAGTGTATAGTGAAGCAGTGTGACGTATCCCAGCAACAACACGTGTTATTAGGGCAGTGTCCACGCCCGTCAACGTAATGACCTGGAGCCGGCGTCTGAGTCCCGAAATGGGATTCAACATGATCAAGTCAGTGAACTCGATCAGCTGCCTCGGTACGAGTGACACATGTTGGACTCCACGTCCTGCTATATTCACGAACGGATCCGTATATACTCCACCCTCGACGAGATATCTACTCCTCACAAGTCACGCCCAGAGCCTATAGTCTCCATGTCCTGCTATATACTCCCCTGTCAACATGTCCGTATACAGACACATGATATGGCGCTAATAAAGCTTTAAGCGGCAGCGTAAAAACCGTCTCACTTACTCACTGACATTTCAAGTACTTCAATACACATCGTTATTTTCCCCAGTTTTGCTGAAGTCGGTGTCCTCGTCCACTTCATCACCCTGGTGTTGGCGTGGCTGACAAGGAACATCCCCTATGTCGGGGGCTGGGGACAGTTCCTCCCCACGGGGTAAGTATTGTGACATATAGGTCAAAGGAACATCTCCTATGTCGGGGACTGGGGACACGTCCTCCCCTCTGGGTAAGTATTGTGACGTACAGGTCCAAGGAACATCTCCTATGTCGGGGACTGGGGACAGTTCCTCCCCATGGGGGTAAGTATTGTGACGTATAGGTCCAAGGAACATCTCCTATGTCGGGGGACTGGGGACACGTCCTCCCCATGGGGGTAAGTATTGTGACGTATAGGTCCAAGGAACATCTCCTATGTCGGGGGCTGGGGACAGTTCCTCCCCTCGGGGTAAGTATTGTGACGTATAGGTCAAAGGAACATCCCCTATGTCGGGGGACTGGGGACACGTCCTCCCCTCTGGGTAAGTATTGTGACGTACAGGACCAAAGAACATCTCCTATGTCGGGGGCTGGGGACAGTTCCTCCCCTCGGGGTAAGTATTGTGACGTATAGGTCCAAGGATCTCCTACGTCGGGTATCGGTGCCAATGGTGAAGAATTCCGATCCTGGCCATGGTTTGTCAACATCTGCGCTGGTTGGTTGAAATATGATGTTGAAGGGCTCCAACAATGTGATATATAGGTTTTACACAGCGACGTCCAACACAATCACTCACACATTCTTCTTAATCCCAGGTTTGTTGGCGACTCAATGGCTGCCATATTGATCTGCGTCAGTCTGTTCGTCTTTCCGTCCATACGTCCGTCGGTTTTCTGTTGGCGGAAATCAGGTAATGTAATGTCACGTGTCGCAGGATATATCTAGAGGTGTCTGGTGTGAAAACTCAGCTCTGTTGCTTTTGGTTACCTATAGCTCAGTTGCTCTTAGTTACCTACAGCGCTGTTGCTCCTAGTTAAAAACAGCTGTGTTGCTCCAAGTTACCCACAGCTCTGTTGCTCCTAGTTAAACACAGGTCTGTTGCTACTAGTTACATACAGCGCTGTTGTTCCTAGTTAAATGCAGCTCTGTTGCTACTAGTTAAATACAGGTCTGTTGCTACTAGTTACATACATCGCTGTTGCTCCTAGTTAAATGCAGCTCTGTTGCTACTAGTTAAATACAGCTCTGTTGCTCCTAGTTAAGTGCAGTTCTGTTGCTACTAGTTAAATACAGCTCTGTTGCTCCTAGTTCAATACAGCTCTGTTGCTCCTAGTTAAATACAGCTCTGTTGCTGCTAGTAAAATACAGCTCTGTTGATCCTAGTTAAATACAGCTCTGTTGCTCCTAGTTCAATACAGCTCTGTTGCTCCTAGTTAAATACAGCTCTGTTGCTCCTAGTTCAATACAGCTCTGTTGATCCTAGTTAAATACAGCTCTGTTGCACCTAGTAAAATACAGCTCTGTTGCTCCTAGTTACCTACAGCTCTGTTGCTCCTAGTTACCTACAGCTCTGTTGCTCCTAGTAAAATACAGCTCGGTTGCACCTAGTTAAATACAGCTCTGTTGCTCCTAGTTACCTACAGCTCTGTTGCTCCTAGTTCAATACAGCTCTTTTGCACCTAGTTAAATACAGCTCTGTTGCTCCTAGTTAAATACAGCTCTGTTGCTCCTAGTTACCTACAGCTCTGTTGCTCCTAGTAAAATACAGCTCGGTTGCACCTAGTTACCTACAGCTCTGTTGCTACTAGTTAAATACAGCTCGGTTGCAACTAGTTAAATACAGCTCTGTTGCTCCTAGTTAAAGACAGCTCAGTTGCTCCTAGTTAATACAGCTCAGTTGCTCTTAGTTACCTACAGCGCTGTTGCTCCTAGTTAAATACAGCTCTGTTGCTCCTAGTTAATACAGCTCTGTTGCTCCTAGTTAAAGACAGCTCAGTTGCTCCTAGTTAATACAGCTCAGTTGCTCTTAGTTACCTACAGCGCTGTTGCTCCTAGTTCCCTACAGCGTTGTTGCTCTTAGTTACCTACAGCGCTGTTGCTCCTAGTTACCTACAGCGTTGTTGCACCTAGTTAAATACAGCTGTGTTGCTCCTATTTAAATACAGCTCGGTTGCAACTAGTTAAATACAGCTCTGTTGCTCCTAGTTAAAGACAGCTCTGTTGCTCCTAGTTAAATACAGCTATGTTGCTCCTAGTTAATACAGCTCAGTTGCTCCTAGTTAATACAGCTCAGTTGCTCCTAGTTAAATACAGCTCTGTTGCTCCTAGTTAATACAGCTCAGTTGCTCCTAGTTAATACAGCTCAGTTGCTCCTAGTTAAATACAGCTCTGTTGCTCCTAGTTACCTACAGCTGTCTTGCTCTTAGTTACCTACAGCGCTGTTGCTCTTAGTTACCTACAGCTGTCTTGCTCTTAGTTACCTACAGCGCTGTTGCTCCTAGTTACCTACAACGTTGTTGCACCTAGTTAAATACAGCTGTGCTGCTCCTAGTTAAATACAGCTGCGTTGCTCCTAGTTACCTACAGCTGTGTTGCTCCTATTTAAATACAGCTCGGTTGCAACTAGTTAAATACAGCTCAGTTGCTCCTAGTTACCTACAGCTGTCTTGCTCTTAGTTACCTACAACGCTGTTGCTCCTAGTTACCTACAGCGTTGTTGCACCTAGTTAAATACAGCTGCGTTGCTCCTAGTTAAATTACAGCTGTGTTGCTCCTAGTTAAATTACAGCTGTGTTGCTCCTAGTTAAATACAGGTGTGTTGTCCCTAGTTAAATACAGCTCTGTTGTCGTGGGTGTAGCGCATTGCCTAGACAAGCATGTCAGCCATCTCATGATACATGTGGAGACTTATATCTATTGAAATGTGAAATGTATTTCATCTTGACAAAGTCTCGAGTTCAAGTGGAGCAAACTATTTCAATGTTACGGTGCTGCTGTGTAGGTGCGGAGTCAGAGTCCGTGCCCCCACTCCTCACGTGGGACGTCCTACAGAACAAGTTCCCCTGGGGAGTGCTTCTGCTCATCGGGGGTGGGTATGCTCTCGCTGATGCCTGTGAGGTAAGCACGCGCGGACTGGCGCCAAAACACATATTCCTACAACGATAAATTGAAACAGACCTCTTTGAACAGACGTACATCATTGGCGGATCCAATGGTGGGGGGTGGGGGTTCCAAAACACACACACACACACACACACACAGAGAGAGAGAGAGAGAGAGAGAGAGAGAGAGAGAGAGAGAGAGAGAGAGAGAGAGAGAGAGAGAGACACACACACACACAGACAGACACACACACCTTTGAAAATGACCACATATAAGTTAATGTTTTGCATTGGCAGAGCCAAGGTGGGGTTCAGGGGGATTCGAACCCCCTGAACCCCCCGCTTTGAAACTTCCTGGATCCGCCTATGTACATTATATCTTCACAGATATTTGGCCTGTCTTTAAGTCAGTCTTGTTGACTAGTGAAGTACATTATATTTGTTTGCATACTTTCCGGCTGTTCTAGCGACTATAATCTTCACATATGGTCTGTTTCGGTGAGCGGTCATGTTCCTCCACTGTTACCGTCACATTATGTCTCTACAGAAATCAGGGCTGTCTCAGTGGATCGGCAACCAGCTGGCGGTGTTCAGTTTCATGGATCCCAGCGTCATGAACCTGGTGTTGACATTGTTGGTGGCAGCGGCTACCGAGGTGACCAGCAACTCCGCAACAGCATCATTGTTGCTGCCCATTATGGGAAATCTGGTCAGTTGATTATACAGTATATACATAATGTATATTATCTTACAGTTTTTGTTATTCTTTTTTGAGGATAAAACGAATACCAGAAGCGCTCTGTGCAACATTGTAAACCTCTGTATAGTCACTGAATGTTCGCATTGGGCTCACCAGGCACTCTCCCTGAACCTGGACCTCGTGAAGTCCACTGTCTGTTTATTATCCTAGGCACTCTCCCTGAACATTGACCTCGTAAAGTCCCCTGTCCGTTTATAATCCAAGGCACTCTCCCTGAACATGGACCTCGTGAAGTCCCCTGTCCGTTTATTATCCAAGGCGCTCTCCCTAAACATGGACCTCGTAAAGTCCCCTGTCTGTTTATTATCCAAGGCGCTCTCCCTGAACATGGACCTCGTGAAGTCCCCTTTCCGCACTCTCCCTGAACATGGAACTCGTGAAGTTCCCTGTCTGTTTATTATCCAAGGCACTCTCCCTGAACATGGACCTCGTGAAGTCCCCTGTCCGTTTATTATCCAAGGCACTCTTCCTTGACATGAACCCCGTGAAGTCCCCTGTCCGTTTATTATCCAACGCGCTCTCCACGAACATGAAGCCTAGTGAAGGCCATGTTTGTTTATTATCCAAGGCACTCTTCCTGAACATGAACCCCGTGAAGTACCTTGTTTGTTTAATATCCTAGGAACTCTCCCTGAATATGAACCCCGTGAAGTACCTGTCTGTTTATTATCCAAGGCACTCTCCCTGAAAACGAACCTCGTGAAATCCCCTGCCTGTTTATTATCCTAGGCAACCTCCACGAACATGAACCCCGTGAAGTCCCCTGTCTGTTTATTATCCAAGGCACATTTTACGAACATGAACCCTGTGAAGTCCCCTGTCTGTTTATTATCCAAGGCACTCTTCCTGAAAACGAACCCCGTGAAGTCCCCTGTCCGTTTATTATCCTAGGCACATTTTACGAACATGAACCCTGTGAAGTCCCCTGTCTGTTTATTATCCAAGGCACTCTCCCTGAACATGAACCTCGTGCAATTCTCTGTCTGTTTATTATCCAAGGCACGCTTCCTGAACATGAACCCCGTGAAGTCCCCTGTCCGTTTATTATCCTAGGCACTCTCCACGAACATGAACCCTGTGAAGTCCCCTGTCTGTTTATTATCCAAGGCACTCTCCCTGAACATGAACCCCGTGAAGTCCCCTGTCCGTTTTTTATGCGAGGCACTCTCCACGAACATGAACCCTGTGAAGTCCCCTGTTTGTTTATTATTCAAGGCAATCACCCTGAACATGAATCCATTGTTCCTGATGTTCCCGTGTGTCATCGCAACCTCATTCGCCTTCATGTTGCCCGTGGCAACGCCGCCGAACGCCATTGTGTTTGCTAATGGTTACATCAAAGTTGCCGATATGGTGAGTAGAGACTGGTGTCTTGAGAGGCATGTAGTCAACAGATGCCTGTTTCAATTATAGGACTGTGTCTTCTATATAAAGTGTAATACCTTCCACATCATGTATCAAATGAGATATTGGCCTCTTTTTGGAACTCAAAGGTTTTTTTAGAGAAAGTAAATTCGTGCTTGTCTGTTCAACATTGGTTGTTTAACTGATATTAGTTAAGTTGGCTGGAAATGGAACTTGGTCCATGACCTGGTCCACCACTATTGATGCCAGCCTCTAGAACCCATCAGATCTGACCGCCTACTCTCCATCAGATCAGATCATTTCCATTTGTGAATACCGACCATACGGATATGAACGTGGTGTGCGTGCCGGTGCTGGTCATGGCGACCGCCTCCGTGGTGTAGTCATTAGAGCGTATATTTAACGCGATCCCTTTCACTTTCGCCTTTAAAAAAATAACAAACTTTGAAAATAATGGACTTGATGTCAGAGGTGAATTTCCTTGTCTCATGTACCGTGTCAGTAAATCGATTTGCTATGCTTGATGTGACGTCACAATTGCACGTGCTTACCGCCCTTGGCGATGTTACTTTATCCTTGTAAACCTCACACAGAAAATCCAAACAAAATTATGATAGTTTGTTAAGGAACTTTTTTTATTTTGGATACAAACTTTATGAATCCTTTTTCCAGAGTTGATCTGTTGGAGTTTGGAGTTTCGTTACATTCTGCCTTGAAATGAAATGTTTGATCATGAACCTATTTGACATTCAACACGTGGGTCGACGTCTACTTTCACTTTCTCAACTCTTGTTACAGGCTATAGCGGGTCTTGGTATGAACGTGGTGTGTGTGCTGGTGCTGGCCCTGGCAACCAACACGTGGGGCGACGCCTACTTTGATCTGTTCACACTCCCGCCGGGCTTTCCTTTGAATTCTACTGGAGCTGTCCTCTAATACTGTGGTGTGTAAGCTGTCCTCTAACACTGTGGGCATGTGCGAGCGCCAGATGCATGTGCAGATCAGAACTCCTTGCAACACCAATGGTCCTCAGTTGCAGACCTAAGATTGGCTAGAAGAGTCTGATCGAGATTGCACAGAGACAGATGTAGACACACATCATACAGAACACACACACTCAAACTCACACACACACACACACACACACACTAACACACTAACACACTAAGACACACTAACAAACCAACACAAGGGGGCCTCAAATCCTCCGCTCGATCTTAGTGCTGAAGCTGCCCTGACACTGCTTCCATCGGTCCAGAGTGGTCGTCCGGTCATCCTGCCTTCAGCATCAATAGACACATATTCAGCAATATCCAGATATTAATATAGTTATTCCTGGCTGATATGGTGCTTGTTATATCACTCTTGTGGCCAGACACAATTAAACCAGCAGAATAAATTGTATATCAACAAGTTATTGTAAACTTATATATGTATAAGTCCAGATCGCGTTAGTCATAGTCACGTCATGACGTATATATCGTGTTACGGCATATATAGCATGCATGGTATATATACGCATACAATGCATATATATATGCCGTAACACGATCTGGATCATGTGTGGTATAGTTATGTTTGCATTTCTCACAGCATGTAACCATGGATACAATAATATGTTCAATTCTTATTCACTGTTCACTTAAGGCCAGGAGGTTCCAGTAATAAATTCAAGCTTGTCAGTTAAACTACATTTTGTTTGATATAATGCTGTCAGCTGTATGGCTGCAGCACAAACGTTTGTTGACATCCCGTATTTGCAGTATAGTTCTTGTTCATATAAAAGAAACATCATATTTTGTACAAATAAAGAAAATTTCTCAACTGAACACGTGGGATCATCATGTAAGATGAACACCTCCAGTATCCAATTATATAAAAACATGTTATCATCCCCTTCCTCTAGTAAAACAACATGCTATTATCCCCTTCCTCTAGTAAAACAACATGTTATCATCCCCTTCCTCTAGTAAAACAACATGTTATCATCACCTTTCTCTAGTAAAACAACATTTTATCATCCCCTACCTCTACTAAAACAACATGTTATCATCACCTACCTCTGGTAAAACATGTTATAATTATCTACCTCTTGTAAAAAAAAATGTTATCATCCCCTATCTCTTGTAAAACATGTTATCATCCCCTATCTCTACTAAAACAACATGTTATCATCCCCTCCCTCTTGTGAAACATCATGTTACCATCCCCTACCTCTAGTAAAACAACATGTTATCATCCCCTACCTCTAGTAAAACAACATGTTATCATTCCCTATCTCTAGTAAAACAACATGTTGTCATCGCCCACCTCTGGTAAAACATGTTATAATTATCTACCTCTTGTAAAACAAAATGTTGTCACCCCCTATCTCTTGTAAAACATCATGTTATCACCCCCTACCTCTAGTAAAACAACATGTTATCATCCCCTATCTCTACTAAAACAACATGTTATCATCCCCTCCCTCTTGTGAAACATCATGTTATCATCCCCTACCTCTAGTAAAACATCATGTTATCATCCCCTACCTCTAGTAAAACAACATGTTATCATCCCCTGCCTCTAGTACAACAACATGTTATCATCCCCTGCCTCTAGTAAAACAACATGTTATCATCCCTATCTCTAGTAAAACAACATTGTATCATCCCCTACCTCTACTAAAACAACATGTTATCATCCCCTATATCTAGTAAAACAACATGTTGTCATCGCCTACCTGTGGTAAAACAACATGTTATCATCCCCATAATCTAGTAAAACAACATGTTATCATCCCCTATCTCTAGTAAAGCAACATGTTATCATCCCCTACCTCTACTAAAACATCATGTTATCATCCCCTACCTCTAGCAAAACAACATCTTATCATCCCCTTTATCTAGTAAAACAACATGTCATCCCCTATCTCTTGTAAAACAACATGTTATCATCCCCTACCTCTAGTAAAACAACATGTTATCATCCCCTATATCTAGTAAAACAACATGTTATCATCCCCTACCTCTAGTAAAACAACATGTTATCATCGCCTACCTGTGGTAAAACATGTTATAATTATCTACCTCTTGTAAAACAAAATGTTATCATCCCCTATCTCTTGTAAAACAACATGTTATCATCCCCTATCTCTAGTAAAACAACATGTTATCATCCCCTACCTCTAGTAAAACAACATGTTATCATCCCCTATCTCTAGTAAAACAACATGTTATCATCCCCTTCCTCTTGTGAAACATCATGTTATCATCCCCTACCTCTAGTAAAACAACATGTTATCATCCCCTACCTCTAGTAAAACAACATGTTATCATCACCTATCTCTAGTAAAACAACATGTTATCATCCCCTACCTCTAGTAAAACAACATGTTATCATCCCCTACCTCTAGTAAAACAACATGTTGTCATCGCCTACCTGTGGTAAAACATGTTATCATTATCTACCTCTTGTAAAACAAAATGTTATCATCCCCTATCTCTAGTAAAACAACATGTTATCATCCCCTCCCTCTTGTGAAACATCATGTTATGATCCCCTACCTCTAGTAAAACAACATGTTATCATCACTTATCTCTTGTAAAACAACATGTTATCATCCCCTACCTCTAGTAAAACAAAATGTTATCATCCCCTATATCTAGTAAAGCAACATGTTATCATCCCCTACATCTACTAAAACATCATGTTATTATCCCCTACCTCTAGTAAAACAACATGTTATCATCCCCTATATCTAGTAAAACAACATGTTATCATCCCCTACCTCTAGTAAAGCAACATGTTATCATCCCCTATCTCTAGTAAAACAACATGTTATCATCCCCATAATCTAGTAAAACAACATGTTATCATCCCCTATCTCTTGTAAAACAACATGTTATCATCCCCTACCTCTACTAAAACATCATGTTATCATCCCCTACCTCTAGCAAAACAACATGTTATCATCCCCTTTATCTAGTAAAACAACATGTTGTCATCCCCTATCTCTTGTAAAACATCATGTTATCATCCCCTACCTCTAGTAAAACAACATGTTATCATCCCCTATCTCTAGTAAAACAACATGTTATCATCCCCTACCTCTAGTAAAACAACATGTTGTCATCGCCTACCTGTGGTAAAACATGTTATAATTATCTACCTCTTGTAAAACAAAATGTTATCATCCCCTATCTCTTGTAAAACATCATGTTATCATCCCCTATCTCTAGTAAAACAACATGTTATCATCCCTACCTCTAGTAAAACAACATGTTATCATCCCCTATCATCCTCTCTCTGTAAAACAACATGTTATCATCCCCTACCTCTAGTAAAACAACATGTTATCATCCCCTATCTCTAGTAAAACAACATGTTATCATCCCCTACCTCTAGTAAAACAACATGTTGTCATCCCTACCTCTAGTAAAACAACATGTTATCATCCCCTACCTCTAGTAAAACAACATGTTATCATCCCCTACCTCTAGTAAAACAACATGTTGTCATCCCCTATCTCTAGTAAAACAACATTTTATCATCCCCTACCTCTACTAAAACAACATGTTATCATCCCCTACCTCTAGTAAAACAACATGTTGTCATCGCCTACCTGTGGTAAAACATGTTATAATTATCTACCTCTTACAAAACAAAATGTCATCATCCCCTATCTCTTGTAAAACAAAATGTTATCATCCCCTATCTCTACTAAAACAACATGTTATCATCCCCTCCTTCTTGTGAAACATCATGTTATCTATTATCTATGTATTCTTATACCTGTTTAAAAAGAAACAGATCAGTAGTAGAGGGGACCCCTTTGATGACAGTTGGATTGTTTTCAATTCTATTTTCGGCATTCTAACAGTGAATCGTGCTCGGACAACTGTGAGATACATACAACAGACTCGTCACGTGACACGCTCCTCCATCATGCATAGATATGGTGTATTTTAGCCGAGATTGGCGTTACCCTCAATGCTGAAACGGATCGCCCAACCATACCGTTAATATATGCAGTTTGGTGTTTAAATCTGCGATACGTGACCAGGGCAATTTAAACAGAGTTGAACAAAACACTGTCGTGGGAGACCTAACTGGGAAGAAGGCCTTTGTCCGTGTAATAGGTAGCATGATGAAAGATATGTAAAGCGATTACACATGTCATCGGTTCCCATTTGCGCAGATCAATGCTCATGCTGTTGATCACTGGATTGTCTGGTCCAGACTCGATTATTTACAGACCACCGCCATATAGCTGGAACATTGCTCAGTGCGGGGTAAAACTAAACTCACTCACTCACTCACTCACTCACTCACTCCCTGCTGTTGTTCCCACTGAGGCGGATTTCATCACAGCTATGTAAACGTTCACACCTTTATTGTACATAAAGGACATTTAGGCGGTGTTTCGATGCCCAAGACTTGAGTAGAAAGTTATGTGTTTACTATTCCCGTGGGCCTTGTGAAACGCGTCAGGACTTGTTTTGACTTTTGTTAAATGTTTTTCCATCTACTACATCAATTGTTGTGGTGTGGAAAAATAGTGTACTGATTATAGTCTGATGTGACCAATGCTGTCATCTGTACCGCATGTAATCAGGTGTTCCTTTCAGTTGTATTCATATGTGCTGACTGCCCGTGGTTCTGCTTGGTCTGCGGCAAGGTTAATCTTGTTACTGGTCATTGTTGACACTTGACGGAATCAATAATGAGGTGTGTACGTTCTGCAACACGGCCCCGTACCTTAATGACTTGAAACAACAAGGTAATGTTGTATCACCTGTTTTGCCAGTTATCAATACAAAAGCCATAGCGTGGCATAACATTGCATGTAATCGCTTTAAAATTGATTTCATAGATACGATTTGATCCAAAATAGTGATGTTTCTTTCATGAAATAGTTTTGAAAGTTGGAATCCTTGAAAAATCATTATATCATTCGTTTTTCCGTCGTCCTACTGCAGCCGAAATATGATTTTGTACTAAATATTCCTCCGCCCAAGACCGATGTTCTAGAGTTACATTCCCAAGATGGTTTAATATAAAAATGGGGAAGTAGGAAATCAAGAAAATCAAAGTTGTTAAACTGATCACACCAAGGTTTCAGGAATTCCGACTGCACATTTGGCTGAAGACATCGTTTCATACCTCCGAAGCAAAATTGCTCGAAAGGTCATTAACAGCTTTTCGACAGAACGTCAGCAGAACCAGATTTGACAGCACCAAATACTGGACATAGTTCCACATGCATTCCTTTGTGTGACCGAATCCTGTCCTGACACGGAGAAGTAGACAAGAAGAACACACACACACATATATATATATATATATATATATATATACTGAGGTACGATACAGTCGTTAGTAGAGCATACGTCAGCATCTAATTATGTGAACAAGCTGGCTGCTGACAGAAACAGCTGAGTGAAGTCAGTGATGGTGAAGTCAGTGATGATGAAGTCAGTTATAGTGAAGTCAGTTATAGTGAAATCAGTGATGGTCCTGTTTACGTATCTTCTGGCGCTCCACCTGGTTCCGCCACTAACTGCTTTCCAGCGTTGTTCAATGTCAAGGTCACGTATCCTCGGAGTAAAGTCTGCTATATTTGTGCCTATCCAAGAATTCATACCGTTCTTAAACAACGTTTCGATAAAGATCTCAACAGAATAATCAGAGAGCAGCTGCAGAAGAATTCGATGGGAAACCTTTGGGAACCGTGAGAAAGTGAAAGTAGGCGTCGCCCCATGTGTTGGTCGCCAGGGCCAGCACCAGCACACACACCACGTTCATACCAAGACCCGCTATAGCCTGTAACGAGAGGACGGGACGTGGCAGGAATTGTTTCTGTAACGGTGGTTACAAAAGTCAGGTTTAAATTATCGTCTATTGAAAATATTACATGTCCTGAATTTAGGCATATGTTTGGGAAAATAGAGAGACCCACTTAAAGGGGAATCGGGTTCCTGCAGACGGTGACCTGGATCATAATGTACGTGGGAATGAACCCGACAGCATCGAGCAAAGGCACTGCCACCAAACAATGTGTTGATCTGACTTGAATATCTACTGACAATGATATCCAGACACAGTAATCTGGGTAGGGTAGCAAAGGATATTTATATAGCGCACATATCCACGCAACTAGTGCATGCTCAAAGCGCTGGTATTATTTCCCTCGATCATTGGATCAATCTGGTCAATCTCAACGGCTTATCGTATTATCAATCTCAACTCCCTGGGGAGTATATACAACTCTTGCACCCACTAGGCGCACCGAGTTATTATGGCTTTCTTATCCTAACGAGGTACCCATTCACAGCTGGGTGGACTGGGACACATAGTCACAGTACTTTGTCACAGTACGTTTTCAGTGCACGTTGCTGTACCTGCAACTAGGTGTTTGCACGTATTTATGTGACCGCCATCTGGTCATATACCAAGGGATTCGTGGGTTCTTTTAAGTGCACAGGGTTGCGTACTGTACACAAGGGGTTGTGACAACACGGAAAAGAGTCTGCACACAAAGTTGACTCCAAGAATTTTACACCCGGTCACAGGTGAGTTCGATCCATGCACCTCATGCTCGCTGAATCTGTAGCCTGGCGCCTTAGCCAGCTCGCCCACCACGCCCCAATCTGAAGTCATTGATGTGAAGTAACCTTAGTACCTACAGTCAGTCTTGTAACCCTGGCCATTTGGAGGATATGGAAACTGGTCAAATGAACTTATGTTCTCTCACCATGTCTGTCACTTTCACATAGCCCTTGGAAAACACAATGGCGTTGGGAGGCGTTGCCACTGGCAACATGAAGGCGAAGGATGCTGCGACAGCGCAAGGGAACATGAGAAACAAGGGGTTGACGTTCAGTGCTAGGGCCTGTAGGAGAGAAACACCACATATTTAATATGTATCATAAGTATTAAAATCATCTGAACTTTGAATCATATCCTGATATGTAGAACTGACCCTGGAAGATCCGGGTTAGAATTGGTTTTCAGCAACCTATGATTGTGGCAAGAGGTGTCTAACGGGATCAGGTGGTCTGACTTGCTGATCTGGTTGCTGCACGTCATCATATCCCAATTGCGTAGATCGATGTTGGTGAACATAATCACTTAACTGTCTGGTCCATACTCGATTATGTACAGGCCTCCCTCATGTGGTCGGAATATTGCTGAGTGCGCCATTAAACAAACAAAATACATATTTGGCTTGGACCGTATGTTCAGGTTCGGGTTTTTTTCAGGTAAACAACTAGCATACCTTTGCCTGTGCAACCAAAGTTGCAGGATATGTTCGCCATTTTGCCAAGACCATGGCCGTTTGTGGTGTTTCATAAAAACATGCTTACCATACTAATCGTACACAATTCTACTTTTACAGGATACATTTTATGATTGTGGCGCTTACATTTTCCCGCTGGGTTCCTCGTATTTTTATTGAACAAACTGTCACTTCACCAGAAAATACATTTTTCATTAAATACTTCATATAAAATTTCAAGAATTTCTTTTGAATCTACATTGATTTTTAAAGTTGAGTTTCTTAGTAAACATAAAGTGATAAACTACTACTGACCAGGTTTCCCAAGATAGGCAGGAAAAGTGTAACCGTGGCGATGTTTGTGGTCACCTCGGTGGTCATCGCCACAAGCAGGGACAAAATCAGGTTCATGACGCTGGGGGTGAGGGAACTGAATACTGTCAGCTGGCTGCCGATCCACGCGGATAGTCCTGATTTCTGTAAAGATATTGAGGGCCTAGTGGTTAAAGCACCCGCTCGTCACGCCGAAGACCCGGTTCTGATTCCCCACAAGGTACAATGTGTGAAGCCCATGCATTCTTCGTGTCCCCCGCCGTGTTATTGCTGGAATATTGCTAAAAGCGGCGTAAAACCATACTCACTCACTCACTCACTCACTATAATTTCTGTAAAGATATAATACTCATCATCTGTCACTGCGACGTGACGTACATCACTTGTGCCGAGTCAGCCATTGTTCACATCACCTGCCGCTGACTTGCACACCATGCTGGACATATCCTCGTGCGCATACAGGGGCGTAGGAACGGTTTTCAGGGGGGGTGGGGGCCTAAATTTATGAAAAGTATTGAAAATCAAAACGAAATTGTAGTTATATTAAGGGACCGTTCATAATTTATGGCTAGGGGGGTGGGGGTGATGATGCTTGTTATGGAGAAACATGTACAATGTGAATGACCCCCCCTTAAATTTATGTACAAAATAAGTGACCCCCCTGCATGCCATATACAAAATCAATGACCCCCCTACCCTTCCCATAATTTCTAAGCATAATTTTAAACATAATTTTATGTACAAACTTGCTGACCCCCCTAGTACGTGTACAAAATTGATGACCACCCCTAGCTCCCAAGAACAAAATGGGTGACCCCCCTTAAAATCATCACACACACACCCCCTAGCCATAAATTATAAACGGTCCCTAAGGTAGATATGGTTTCGTCTTGAGAGGGGGGGGTAAGCCCCCTTCTGTTCCTACGCCCCTGGCATATCTCGTGATCGTTATTACTTTTTGGGCCCGAAAAGGTTCAGCGTGAGACATGACATTTTGTTAACATAATAATCTTATCGTGTACAGTTTAGGATCACTGTTTGGAATACGTTCGGGCTGAAAGTGTCCTTGTTCACCTGAGATGCGTCAGCGAGAGCCGACCCTCCCCCTATGAGCAGCAGCACCCCCCACGGCATCCGGCTCTCCACTGTGTTCCAGCTGATCAGTGCCGGTACGGATCGTGAGGCTTCACCTGTGAAATGACAGTTATCATCTCTAAACAATAAGAAGAAGAAAATCAGCTCTGCTGAGTTCTGCGCATGGAGGGGCGGTGGGGTAGCCTAATGGTTACAGTGTTCGCTCGTCACGCCGAAGACCCGGGTTTGATTCCCCACATGGATACAATGTGTGAAGCCCATTTCTGGTTTCCCCGCAGTGATATTGCTGGAATATTGCTAAAACGGCGTAAAACTAAACTCGCTCTTTACTTGTATGAACTCGACTGGCCTGAAAAGTGAAACAGAAGGCTTTCTGTTTGCTGCTCAGAACCAGTCGCTTCCTACTCGTAACTGCCGATGTGTGATTCTGATTCAGAATGTAAATATGCAATGTAACATTATGTAATGAATGTAATGAGACTGTTCAACACCTTGTCAGTGGATGCCAAGCGTTGACACAAGCACAGATGGTAAGACATGCCGTATCCTCCTACTACTTTATTCGCCATGTTTTTGGAGATCATCAACATTCTTTGGAATTGGCCAATATACACTTCATAGGTATCAAGCAATCACCCTGCCCTTATCACTTACATATCATCGAAATGTCTGTCCATTTTGCGTGATTGACAAGAGTCAGGAGAAGCATGGCAAATATGCCCTCGCATATGAATTTCACGCTTGCATCCCAAGTACCAAGTTGTCCTACTGCCCATCGTTCTTAAGTGCTAGTAGTACCGCCCAGTCTCGTCACTGACAACGGGAGAGTCTCTTGCGACCACGAACACAGCTCTCATGACTCTCTGGGTGATGCAAAAGGCTGTAGTGTTGGGGAGTCTACATATTCTCCGAAGACGTCTTGGTGGGTTCGACTTGGAAGTACAATTCTCTGAGCTGTGACAACGTTCATTTTGTCGAAAGGACATGTAAAAACAATATTTATAAAGTTGTGGATTAGGATTAGATCCACTCTAATTAATTCGGGTGACGTCACTGTAGGGAAGAAGCTAATGAAGTGATACTGAGGTTTCTGGAGACAAGAGAGGGTGACCTGGATCCACAACTACAGGTGAGCTACACGTGCACCAGGCTAAACAGTAGGTACCTGATCTGCGCCAACAGAAGACAGAAGGGCGTTTTGACGGAAAGACGAAAAGACTGGTGGCCACCAAGATGGAAGACACGGAACTTCCGACGTACCTAGAAAAGAGACTGGACATGAATGATTGTCTGTCTTAATGAATGATGAATCACCTGACGAAAAGGTCAAGACGTGTGTACTTTTAGAAATTTGTCAACAAGAAAATGGCTTTACTCAAAGTAGAAAATATCCGAAACCAACGTGTTTCAAGTACTACTCCTCCAAATTTTGAAAACAAGCGCCATTTTTTCATACTTCTATACCAAAAACATTGCGTCATTTTTCATTATTTGAAAAAGAAGCAAGCAAGGCCTGAAACCATATGGACAGAGACTACGTGAGTCAAGTGGGGAGAAGTATAACAAGATATCCTTGAATATATATACATTTGTAGACCTGAAGAAAAAAAGTATCAAAACCTGAAATAATTTCACCCTTACACTCCTATCTAACGTCATCATTGAAAAACGCACAAGTGACAAAGCAATTATCATTTCAATATTCATAAAACTTCAGAGCAAAGGATTATCCAGAATTCACTGCCTAAAGCAGAGTTGACTGTATGCCGAGTTTATCCTACACATGTCAAGTCCCCGAGTTTCATCACGCCCTCAGTACTCCCGTACATCTATGCTGAGTCAACTACAAAAGTAATATTTTGTCTGAGACCTTCAAACTGACCGCCGTTGTGATGTGAAACATATGTATTTCCTAAACGTTTCTCTCTACTTGTCTCTGAATCGCTGAACTTGTACACAATAGTGGTAAATCAAAATTAGCAACTGGAAATTCATCGATCACTTGGTTGTCCGGTGTGTTTATGACAACTGCATAGCAGAGATACTGGTGTGTAATGTCGGGGTGTAAATACGTGCGTAGTTTTGGAAAGTGGTCTGAACATGAAGTTCGCAGCTATTTTGCCTTTTACACCTAAAGGAATATATTCCAGATCAAAGCTGAGTATTGTTTTGTACTGACGTTTAATGTTTCACCAATCACCGCGATACCTGGGGTTTGAGAACAGGTGAGTCCCTTCTGCCGCACCTGTCAGAAACACTTGCAAAGGCAAGTCAACTGGTCATCAGAAAAACATGGGGACAAGTCAACATATGGCATCACTTTAGTCACTGATAGCTGTGCTCCCCACGTGTAGCGAGAAATAGTTTAACTGGGGCCTGGAATGCTGGGATCCTGGTGTTACGTTTTATGGTATTTGAAATTTTCGCAGAGAGCTTTCTAGAATGAACATCAAAAGTTGTAAACTAAACTGAGCTTACCCTTTCGGGAAGAACATCCCCCATCCCCCGACGTAGGGAATGGACATCGTGACCCATGCAAGGATCAGGATGACAAAATGAATCAGTACAACCTTTTCGGCAAAGCTGGAAAAAGAACCGTGAGAAAAGTTGGTGAAAGAGCAGCCCCTTCTGTTTTCCTGACATCACTGTTTCACCATACACTCCCAGCCTGATGGACAGGAAGGCGAGTGTAAACTATGCATATTATCAGCCTTAGTTGTGGCAGGATCCAATTACGTGCTTTACAGATCCATATTGGATCATTATTGGTTTATCAAAATCGGTCTGTGATGGCAGTAATTACAGAAGTGTCAATCATGCAAGATCTATACAATACATCTGACTTCTCTTACCGACATAACACAAATATGTTTAAAGTGGTGTTTCACCAAACCCTGTTACGGCAATAACTTGACTCCAACCATGATTATCATCCCCTGATTTTATCAAAGTTGACAAAACTGTAAAATGTCCTCCCCCATTAGGTTAGCGCTGGTATAGCTCAGGTAAAGTACGTGTCAACCCGTCAGTGACTTACGACATGCGGCCTAGTTTCTCATACTCCCGTCTGATGAGGCGTTTCACCGCCTCCTCCCCATCACGTGACTTCACTTTGCAGCATAAGAGAGACCTGTAACAGTGTCCAGTCAGGTCAGACCAACAGATTTAACATACAGTATTGATAACACTGGATAGATGCTCATGAGTAGCAAGAGACCTGTAACAGTGTCCAATCAGGTCAGACCAACAGATTTAACATACAATATTGATAACACTGGATAGATGCTCATGAGTAGCAAGAGGGGTGGGAGGGGTGTCGGCGCATGGATTCTAAATAATTTTGAAAGTGCAGACGTCTAAATAGAAGCAACAGGAAGAAAAGGGAAGAAACTCTAGGAAGACAAGGACAATAACTCGAGGATGTAAAGAGTATTAGCTCAAGAACATTATGGCAAGTGACGGAGGAAAAGAGGATTAAGTAAATGGAGGCAAAGGATGTTTTTGTGTGTTTGTTATCTTACGCCGCAATCAGCAATATTCCAACTATGTCACGGTGACCTGTAAATAATCGAGTCTGGGCCAGACAATCCGGTGATCAACATCATGAGCATCGATCTGTTGGAATACGTTGTCAACGTGTCGGCGTGTCTATCAAGCCGATCCCGTTAGCCGAAGACCAGTTCTAACCTTGATCTTGGAGACAAGGGATATAAATAGAACCATCACAACCCGTTACCAGGGAGACAAGGGATGTAAATAGAAGCATCACAACCCGTTACCAGGGAGACAAGGGATGTAAATAGAAGCATCACAACCTGTTACCAGGGAGACAAGGGATGTAAATAGAAGCAACACAACCCGTTACCAGGGAGACAAGAACTGGCAATGATATAGCCATTGCGCCTTCCTTTTTCAGTCTATTATTAAAGCGAATATATTTAAGTCACCTCAAAGATGCATTACAATAAAGGCTGACTCACGACTTCCCCAGGTACAGCGTCTGCAGCCACATCCACGCCAACACAATGCACAGCACGGACACAGGAAGGGCTAATAACATCCAGCTTACAAAGTCCACACCCGACTCAAGTCCATATTTGTTGAAGAGTCTAATAAAAACAAAGCCATTTGTAAGGATGATTGTATTTTCCAAATAATACATACATAATTTGTTAAGAACATACAATGTCATCCTTGTTCACAGACATCAGTTTAACATCTTTACTTCTTAATCATCTTTTCTAAATTGTGATTGTTTTGATGTTTTATTGCATTGCTATTGTTTGTGTACAACGTCATTGTTTTTACGTTTGGTACAGCTCGTTTTGGAATGTAAATCTTCATCAGTTCTATTCTTGAACAACCTTTGATTGTTGACGAAAATACTTGAACTTTACGTCACACCTACGCCACCAGAAGATCCCAATAATGTCTAGTCGGTCAGCTTAGTGATGAGCCTGACTGTTAGGTACACCAGCCTACATCGCGGGAAACCCTTTCAGATCCTATCTCCCTCACAACTCACAAGTCTGCTTGGACCTGCATGATGACGTTAGGTGCTGATCCTGCCAGCGTCCCGATGCCGCCTATATTAGCAGAGTAGGCAACACACAGACAGAAGCCCTTACACACACGTGTGAACTCCGGGGTGTCGTGGCTTCTGTCGGTGGGGTCGAACACTGGGGGAGGGGGCGTGGCTTCCTGGTTCTCGCTGACTGGTCTGGAAATAGGTAAAGCAACTGTCGCCCAACGGTGTTGGTTATTGGAAATAATTTCCTGCACAAGAATACCCGACTCTAGGTACGATGAGTGGGTTGGCAATTATATCGACCTCACAGTTCAGTGATCATGTGGAACAGTGGAGCTAGAAGTAGAGACAGTTTAGTTTGGTTTACCAGAGAGGTTTACAAGGTTTTTTGAAGAGAATCTTACGTGTTTTGTTTCTCCTCATCTGTGCCAGTCAAGTCAGACTCATTCGTTGGGCTTGTCTCATCTGTGAAATTTCAGAATAAAAAAAGACAAAACCCTTTCCACACCCATTGGAAATCTCTGCTCTAAAGCTGACTCGATAGTACATTCAGACTAAATGATGAACATGTGTTTAGGAATCACTATGAAAAGACTGATGATACTAGTGTGCGTGACAAGGTGGGCGTGACAAGGTGGGCGTGTCCCACCGATGGAACCTGACACAGTTACATATACAGAGGCTGGGTTATTGTACACCTTTAAAAATCCGGGAACGTATGGTACAAGTCAAAACAGGGAATTGAGATAAGCATCGGATATCATTTTTGAAGTTTTGAAATGACCTTCCCTTGTCCACCATGACACGTTTTGAACGCTTTACTGAGGCCTTGAATTTGGCCACCTTGATCGAGCGTAGTATGACGCTCTTTGAAACCTTCGTAAAAAGAACATTCTCAATTGTATCTCAAACTATGTGAAATGAAAACACCAAGGGCTTTTGGAATATCGCTCAACATGAAGATACAACTGAGTGTTGGAGAGTTGAGTTCATCCCTTTTGTCATGCAGTCGTGTGGGGAGTACTTTGCCACACTGAAACTGTACAGATCACATTAGGAACACATGAGGCGGTCTCACCTGTCTTTTTTGTTTCAAGGTCAGGAAGGTAAACCAGGGAATTGGCTGTTTGATGGTTATTGAACGATATTAGACCCTCGATATACCTGAAGCTTAAGTTAAACATCTTGGCCAAGTAACCTTGTTTTGTGACAGTGGTGTTCATCGTAACGCAGTGTAGTAATTGTATTACATTGTTTCTGTTAGGAGTCAGTCAGAGATGTTACAGAATATTCTTGAAGAGATCTAAACTCAATTTAAAATCGTTATTTTACCCAATCTTTAATTATTAATAACATTTCTTGTTGTTTGTTAGTTTCACTACTGTGAAATACAGAAGACCCTGGAATCCATGTTTCGCCCATCAACGGGGGGTATTGTTTCTCACCTGCTTTAGGCTCCTTCTGTCCTTTCAACTTGTCCTCATTTGTCTTGAAATTAATCTCCCGGAGTTCGTCAAGGACGGCGCTGACGATGGGGATCATCATGGCGGTGGTGGCGATGTTGCTGATCCACATGGATAGGAACCATGTCGGCAGCATGAACCCCAGCATCAACCTCGAGGACAACAGAAGGTGTTACAGGAAATACCAGCAGGACTAGTCGTGTTCATCTACAGTCATCTGTGATCTCTTCAGTATATACTCACTCATACAAATATTACCCATTAGGCTACAAAGATCATATGCCATTTGTTTCCGATATTAACACGTGTATTTTAAAGCTTGCCATAGTTGTTTGTCAATAGAAGCAATATTACGTCATATTACTACAATACTTCCTCCACTGTTCATGACGTCACAATCATTAAAAAGTCTTAATTCATGACACAAATGACGGTGTCAGTGACGTTGGTTTGGAGGTTTGAGATTATAAGGATTTGCCATTTTCCTGCTAAAACGTGCAGTAGAGTATGTAAAGGCATCGCCTGCTCGAAACCTCCATTTCGCTACACGGGGAAATATTCAACATTCCCTTGACAAGTTGGATTATATCATCGTGCCGTCACGTGTCTTCGCTTGACGAATAACCGCTCGGACATTTTCAATAGCAGTTTTACTGATTCGCCATGATGCACCAAATATGAAATGTCAAGTGCATCACACTACAAAACTCAATAAATTTGCTTCACAAACCATCTTGGTTGGACGTGTGTAATAGTGAGTTACTCAGTGCGATCCTCTTGTGGATTTAGTTCTCGACAGCAATGGCGAGAGTCAAACAATGATGAACATAGTCGCTTGCTACAAAGATAAACGTTCTATGTCTTCAGGATGGGTGTGAATGCTATAATGAATAAATAAAATATATATTTCTTAAAGCTGGCATTTACCGAAATTTGGAATGTCCATCATATATTGTAGTAATGTAATCAATGCCCCTTCAGCTAGAAGTGCATATTGCCACACGGCAATATCAGCTCATACAGAACTCTTCATTAGTCTAAAGCCCATTCACATGCACAAAATCTACTCATGTGAGTAAATTTGCACATGTGTAAATATACATACGTGTGTAATAGTAAATTTACTTTGCGTTCATATGGAAGTTATGTAGAGTGAGTAAACTTGAAAGAGTAAAACTAAATGCATTAAATTGTCTCATTGTTTCTCTGAACTTCAACAGAGAAAGATGTTTTCTTATCACTGGCGCTTTAGAAGACAAACACAGTATTAGATATGTTCTGCTCTTGCAATAGGTCTGTCACAAGAAAGACCGTCTGTTTGCTGGAACGACATGAATAAAACTAGTGACGACAAAGACTGGTACGATAATTTTCGAATGAACAAAGGGGTTTTCGATCTTATCTGCACACAACTGCAGGATTACTTAAAAGCTAGTGACCAAGCTGTTCGCCAACCTTTGGATGTACGAATGAAAGTTGCAATCGCAATATACTGGATATAGCTTAAACTTCAGAATATAGAAGTGTGGGAAATTTGTTTGGTGTAGGGAAGTCCACCGTTTGTAAATGTATTCATGAAGTTTGTCAGACCATATGTGATGTTTTGGTTATGTAATATGTAACTTTTCCCCTCAATGAAGATGACATGACACAATTTACTCGCAGTGCAAATTTGCACATGTGTAAATATACTTTTGCACCTGGTCCTGACCACATGTAAATTTGCACCTAGTGTATATTTACATACGTGTGTAAATGCGTTCACATGACACATTTACACACGTATGTAAAGTTTGCTCATGTGTGTATTTATACATATGTGTGCAAACAGGTGCATGTGACATTGTCGCCCTTTGGGTGAATAGAAAATATTTTTTGGCCGAAAGCTCTGGTTAATGTTGTTTTGTATTTGATACAATGGACACCCGATTTACCACCTGATCCACGCTATAACCTGCTTGATCTGTCATTGTGCGGATCGACCGTTGTGAACACCTGGTGTCATCACTATTTGATCATGATTAATAACCACATGCATACAATGGACGTCTTGTAGACATTTCTCAAGATTAAGGAAATATGTCGGTTTTGATTTTTGTGACACGCACCTTGATGTAGTTCGCAGCTACGTCAGGAGCCTTCATGACACCCATCAAAGGGAAGATAACCACAGGGAGAAGTGCGGTCACCGCCAGGGGGAGGCTCTCCGTGACCCAAAACACAGCCATTAGAACAAGGCCGTACGCACATTTTGCCTCCTGGAACAAAACAAAGATTTCCTTCTGTCCATATTACAAAGTAATAGCCGTAATATTTATAATATTCCATATAGAGGAAACAAAACTGCAATAATGTCATTCTATCTTAGCCAGCTTACTTCCAAAGTTTGACCGTCCTGCATAAAAGGATGTTGTTGTCACTAAAATGCCTCAAACAAGGCCTACAATGATTGTACAAGTGGCATGTCAAATAATGACGTTTATAAGAAATAAACTGAGGCATTATACATAAATATTATCAACGTTTGAACACATTCCAACTCCTTGTTTACTTGATTCCATAACATGCTCCGTAACTGTATGGAGAGAGATATTGTTCTCCGGCAAATGTGCCAACAAGTAGGTGTCTCAAAGTATTGACATTGATTTAACAGAATCAAGGAAGCGTTTGGGACACTCACGGGAAATGTGTTGGACATTCACGAAAAGGTTTTGTGTGAAGAGGAATTGATACCAAGCGGCTTCTCCAAAACATAAAGAATTTGTCTGAATGTCTGCATCCAGAGCAAGACGTAAGTTCAGTGAGTTAAACATTGAGCTTGTAACCATCTACACCTAGACCCCGCCCAAAATGCTTCAGAAAAGTCTTCACCTCTTATTCCTGGGAAATGTGTTACTGAACGTATTGGCCAAAGATACATATCTATCATTGGAGGTTCGGGACAATTTGTAAAAAAAACTTCAAATGTCATCCGACGTGTTCTGACGAATGTTTCACCAGTGATAACATATATGTCAAACTGATTGGGTGGATAGACATGTAGGCAAGAAACGCGCGTACCCGCAGGTATCAACTGTGACCCACTTCTTGCTGATTTCTTTCTTCGTGCGTAAGCTTGACATCGCTATTATACAATATAGAAGTTGATCATCCATAAAACTTGTCATTCCTATCACTTACAATTTCCGGAATTACTCTCAAACAGTTCGTGCGTAAGATTGGAATCTGGACGAAGAGTTTACTTTAGCTTCACGTATATCGATGATCCATTGTTATTCAATCTCACTGATTTACCCACCTAACCTAGAAATATAGGGAACAGGTGACTCACAGCAAGGCAAAGACGGTAACTTAAGCTCCAGGTACATTGATGATATGATATGACTCAACACAACCAGATAACTGGTGGGCGAGCTGTTTAAGGCGCCAGGTTAGTATTCCAGCGAGCTTGAGGTGTCGGGATCGAGCCCACTTGTGACCGGGTGTAAAATCCTTGGAGTCAACTTTGCCACATGAATACGTGCAAACACCTAGTTGCAGGTACAGCAACGTGCAGTAAACTTGGACAAAGTACTGTGACAATGTGCCCCAGTCCACCCAGCTGTGAATGGGTACATCGTTAGGATGAGAAAGCCACAATAACTCGGTGCGCCTAGTGGCTGCAAGAGTTGTATGATCCCCAGGGAGTTGAGATTGATAATACGACGTGCCTTAGAGATTGACATCCAATGATCGAAGGGAACAATACCAGCGCTTTGAGCATGTACTAGTTACGGGGATATGTGTGCTATATAAATATCCCATAATAAATAGTAACTACTAGTACTTCACAGGTTGTATTCAATGCCTGAACAATGCGTTCAAATAAGATTTTTGTGGATATGTGCAGAGCATTTCCAAGTTAGAAACTTTAGTGACAAACTGATGTAGATCCGTATTTTGACTCAAGTTCCAGTATGTCTATTTCAGGTGAACACCTGACTGGACTTCCTGTGTGTTTGTGATGAGTGTCATCGTTTGCAAATTGGTGACCACATGTGTCACATGTGCTTCATTGTGGGGCAGGACTGAAGTCCTAGAAACTGTCAAGAGTGAAGCTGCCAAACACGACCAACGTTGCTTAACTTCAACTGATTTGTGACCTGGGCTCTATTGACAAGAACACACACAATTTGTATGCATTAGTTTTATCATTAAATAATGACTATGGGATCACATCACATCGCATTAGTTTTATCATTAAATAATGACTATGGGATCACATCACATCGCAGTAATCTCCGCGTTCCCTCGCACTACTGTTGTACCTTCACATTGATGCTAACATGTTTGTTACATTTTGATGAAGTAAACAAGAATGAAATTTATGATATCCAATAGCACATGATATCATGCAAAGAATTACCAAAAGATATTCAACGTCTCACAGCCTTACCCATGACAGCCAACAGAAGCACAAAGCCCATCAGTAAACATGCAACAGATCAGTTCACCTATGTCGTTATAACCTGGTCAGCCCTAGAATCACAATAGGCTGTGTCTGAGACAATCAGCATCGCCATCAGTCACTGCAGGGAACAGCCTCTCTCCTAGGTAAACCATTATGGGTCCTGTGTATGTATTGTTGGTGATGGGTAGGAGGGTGGGTGGGGTAAGATGGATGGCATGTAGAAGTGATGCACACAAGGAAGAGATAAACCATTATGGGTCCTGTGTATGTATTGTTGGTGATGGGTAGGAGGGAGGGTGGGGTAAGATGGATGGCATGTAGAAGTGATGCACATAAGGAAGAGATAAACCATTGTAGGTCCTGTGTATGTATTGTTGGTGATGGGTAGGAGGGAGGGTGGGGTGAGATGAATGGCATGTAGAAGTGATGCACATAAGGAAGAGATAAACCATTGTAGGTCCTGTGTATGTATTGTTGGTGATGGGTAGGAGGGAGGGTGGGGTAAGATGGATGGCATGTAGAAGTGATGCACATAAGGAAGAGATAAACCATTGTAGGTCCTGTGTATGTATTGCTGGTGATGGGTAGGAGGGAGGGTGGGGTGAGATGAATGGCATGTAGAAGTGATGCACATAAGGAAGAGATAAACCATTGTAGGTCCTGTGTATGTATTGTTGGTGATGGGTAGGAGGGTGGGTGGGGTGAGATGAATGGCATGTAGAAGTGATGCACACAAGGAAGAAATAAAGAAGTTAATCATGCTGAAGGCTAAGTCAACCTTATACCTAATGCGTTATCTCTATTATCACAGCTAATTAACATTGTATAGCCATTGCAATTGTACTGCCGTTGTTATTGTATTGACATTGTGATTATGTGGCCATTGTGACTGTACTCTTATTGTGATTGTATTGCCATAGTGATTGTACTGCCATTGTTATTGTACTCCCATTGTGATTATGTGGCCATTGTGATTGTGCTGTCATTGTGATTGTACTGCCATTCTGGTCGTACTGCCATTATGATTGTATTGTCATTGTGATTGTACTGTCATTGTGATTATACTCTCATTGTGATTGTACTGCCTTTCCAATTGTACTGCCATTGTGATTGTACTGACATTTTGATTATACTGTCATTGTGATTGCACTGTCGTTGTGATTGTACTGCCATTCCGATTGAACTTTCATTGTGATTTTACTGTCATTGTGATTGTACTGTCATTGTGATTGTACTGCCATTTTGATTGTACTGTCATTGAGATTGTACTGCCATTGTGATCGTACTGCCATTCTGATTGTACTGTCATTGTGATTGTACTGTCGTTGTGATTATACTACCATTCCGATTGTACTGTCATTGCAATTGTACTGCCATTGTGATCGTACTGCCATTCTGATTGTACTGTCATTGTGATTGTCCTATCATTGTGATTGTACTCTCGTTGTGATCGTACTTCCATTCCGATTGTACTGTCATTGTGATTGTACTGACATTGTGATTGTACTGACATTGTGATTGTACTGACATTTTGATTGTACTGCCATTGTGATTGTACTGACATTTTGATTGTACTGCCATTGTGATTGTACTGTCATTGTGATTGTACTCTCGTTGTGATCGTACTGCCATTCTGATTGTACTGTCATTGTGATTGTACTGTCATTGAAATTATACTGTCATTCTGATTGTTCTGCCATTCCGATTGTACTGTCATTGTGATTGTACTGTCACTGTGATTGTACTGTCATTGTGATTGTACTGCCATTTTGATTGTACTGCCATTGTGATTTTACTGTCATTGCGATTGTACTGCCATTGTGATTATACTGTCATTGTGATTGTACAACAATGGTGATTGTACTGTCATTGTGATTATATGGCCATTGTGATTGTACAATAATGGTGATTGTACTGTCATTGTGATTATACTGCCCTTGATTTGCGTACTATTACTATAATTACTTTCAGGTTGTTGTTTCATTTGTGGTCCTAGTCAACTTTGGAGTATAATTGAATGTATAGCATCGGCCAGTTGTTGATGGTTACACGATGAAGTCCTTTATGTACGGACTCCTGGTTAACTTACTGTTACACACTGAAGTCCTTTATGTACGGTCTCCTGGTTAACTTACTGTTACACACTGAAGTCCTTTATGTACGGTCTCCTGGTTAACTTACTGTTACACACTGAAGTCCTTTATGTACGGTCTCCTGGTTAACTTACTGTTACACACTGAAGTCCTTTATGTACGGTCTCCTGGTTAACTTACTGTTACACACTGAAGTCCTTTATGTACGGTCTCCTGGTTAACTTACTGTTACACACTGAAGTCCTTTATGTACGGTCTCCTGGTTAACTTACTGTTACACACTGAAGTCCTTTATGTACGGTCTCCTGGTTAACTTACTGTTACACACTGAAGTCCTTTATGTACGGTCTCCTGGTTAACTTACTGTTACACACTGAAGTCCTTTATGTACGGTCTCCTGGCTATCTTACTGTTACACACTGAAGTCCTTTATGTACGGTCTCCTGGTTAACTTACTGTTACACACTGAAGTCCTTTATGTACGGTCCCCTGGTTAACTTACTGTTACACACTGAAGTCCTTTATGTACGGTCTCCTGGTTAACTTACTGTTACACACTGAAGTCCTTTATGTACGGTCTCCTGGTTAACTTCCTGTTACGCACTGAAGTCCTTTGTGTACGGTCTACTGGTTAACGTACCGTTACACACTGAAGTCCTTTATATACGGTCTCCTGGCTATCTTACTGTTACACACTGAAGTCCTTTATGTACGGTCTCCTGGTTAACTTACTGTTACACACTGAAGTCCTTTATGTACGGTCCCCTGGTTAACTTACTGTTACACACTGAAGTTCTTTATGTACGGTCTCCTGGTTAACTTACTGTTACACACTGAAGTCCTTTATGTACGGTCTCCTGGTTAACTTACTGTTACACACTGAAGTCCTTTATGTACGGTCTCCTGGTTAACTTCCTGTAACGCACTGAAGTCCTTTGTGTACGGTCTACTGGTTAACGTACCGTTACACACTGAAGTCCTTTATATACGGTCTCCTGGCTATCTTACTGTTACACACTGAAGTCCTTTATGTACGGTCTCCTGGTTAACTTACTGTTACACACTGAAGTCCTTTATGTACGGTCCCCTGTTTAACTTACTGTTACACACTGAAGTCCTTTATGTACGGTCTCCTGGTTAACTTACTGTTACACACTGAAGTCCTTTATGTACGGTCTCCTGGTTAACTTCCTGTTACGCACTGAAGTCCTTTGTGTACGGTCTACTGGTTAACGTACCGTTACACACTGAAGTCCTTTATATACGGTCTCCTGGCTATCTTACTGTTACACACTGAAGTCCTTTATGTACGGTCTCCTGGTTAACTTACTGTTACACACTGAAGTCCTTTATGTACGGTCCCCTGGTTAACTTACTGTTACACACTGAAGTCCTTTATGTACGGTCTCCTGGTTAACTTCCTGTTACACACTGAAGTCCTTTATGTACGGTCTCCTGGTTAACTTCCTGTTACGCACTGAAGTCCTTTTGTGTACGGTCTACTGGTTAACGTACCGTTACACACTGAAGTCCTTTATGTACGGTCTCCTGGTTAACTTACTGTTACACACTGAAGTCCTTTATGTACGGACTACTGGTTAACGTACCGTTACACACTGAAGTCCTTTATGTACGGTCTCCTGGTTAACTTACTGTTACACACAGTGGGACAGTGTGGGTAGAGACACAAGCACCACGTGCACGAAGCACCAACTACCGTTAAGTCTGAGAAAATGGGTAGAGACAAAAGCACCACGTGCACGGAGCGCCACCTACCGTTGAGTCTGACAGTATGGATAGAGACAAAAGCACCATCTACCGTTGAGTCTGACAGTATGGGTAGGGACAAAAGCGCCACCTACCGTTGAGTCTGACAGTATGGATAGAGACATATGCGCCACCTACCATTGAGTCTGACAGTATGGGTAGAGATAAAAGCGCCACCTAGCGTTGAATCTGACAGTATGGGTAGAGATAAAAGCGCCACCCACTGTTGAGTCTGACAGTATGGGTAGAGACTAAAGCGCCACCTACCGTTGAGTGTAACAGTATGGGTTGAGACAAAAGCACCACCTACCGGAGTGTTTGACAGTATGGGTAGAGACAAAAGAACCACCTACCGGAGTGTTTGACAGTATGAGTAGAGACAAAAGCACCACCTACCGGAGTGTTTGACAGTATGGGTAGAGGAAGAAGCACTACTTATCGGAGCGTTTGGCAGTATTGGTAGAGTAAGAAGCACTACCTGCCGGATTGTTTGGCAGTATGGGTAGAGGAAGAAGCACTACTTACCGGAGTGTTTGACAGTATGGGTAGAGTAAGAAGCACTACTTACCGGAGTGTTTGACAGTATGGGTAGAGGAAGAAGCACTACTTATCGGAGTGTTTGACAGTATGGGTAGAGAGGAAGACAGGTGTTTGTATGGGTAGAGGAAGAAGCATTACCTACCGGAGTGTTTGACAGTATGGGTAGAGTAAGAAGCACCACCTACCGGAGTGTTTGACAGTATGGGTAGAGGAAGAAGCACTACTTATCGGAGTGTTTGACAGTATGGGTAGAGGAAGAAGCACCACCTACCGGAGTGTATGACAGTATGGGTAGAGGAAGAAGCACTACTTATCGGAGTGTTTGACAGTATGGGTAGAGTAAGAAGCACTACTTATCGGAGTGTTTGACAGTATGGGTAGAGGAAGAAGCACTACTTATCGGAGTGTTTGACAGTATGGGTAGAGGAAGAAGCACTACCCGGGTGTTTACCGGAAGAAGCACTACCTACCGGAGTGTTTGACAGTATGGGTAGAGGAAGAAGCACTACCTATCGGAGTGTTTGACAGTATGGGTAGAGGAAGAAGCACTACTTATCGGAGTGTTTGACAGTATGGGTAGAGTAAGAAGCACAAATTATCGGAGGGTTTGACAGTATGGGTAGAGGAAGAAGCACTACTTATCGGAGTGTTTGACAGTATGGGTAGAGGAAGAAGCACTACTTATCGGAGTGTTTGACAGTATGGGTAGAGTAAGAAGCACTACCTACCGGAGTGTTTGACAGTATGGGTAGAGGAAGAAGCACCACCTACCGGAGTGTTTGACAGTATGGGTAGAGGAAGAAGCACTACCTACCGGAGTGTTTGACAGTATGGGTAGACGAAGAAGCACCACCTACCGGAGTGTTTGACAGTATGGGTAGAGGAAGAAGCACCACCTACCGGAGTGTTTGACAGTATGGGTAGAGTAGGAAGCACTACCTACCGGAGTGTTTGACAGTATGGGTAGAGGATAGAGGAAGAAGCACTACCTACCGGAGTGTTTGACAGTATTGGTAGAGGAAGAAGCACTACCTACCGGAGTGTTTGACAGTATGGGTAGAGGAAGAAGCACCAGGGGGCAGATCACCACCAGTAGAGTTGTCTTTACTGCCCAGAAGTCTCGCAACACGCTCCCTGCACGTCCAGACGACATCTTCACCGTTTCCAAGGTGTAAGTTTCTTGGACCATTTCTAAAAATTAAACATTCAAACTTTCACTCTACTTGAAGACTCCACAAATCCCCTGTCCTGTATGATATTAGCAACCTTTGACCATAGGCTGGAGTAACGAGTCCCACTGATAATGTCTGCAGGTATGTATAGACCATACCTCGGTCCTTGTCGTGCCTGTGTGACGTCATAATGCTGTTGTCTTGTTTACATCTTAACACTTCTCCTGGTGTGATGCATTACCATATCGTGTATACGGCTTATTCAAACAGTTGCAGTCAACATTCGCTACGCTAGATGACAGCGGGCTTGGCAGAAGGTACAATGACCTGGTATGGGGTTGGCAGTATGACATGGGTTTCAGTAGGATATCCAGTGTCTCCCACTGTCCCGCCTTGACAGATGGCACATGCAGTAACTTTAAAGTTGATAGCTTCTGAATAATGCAATGAATTTATATCATATGTAAATACGAAGCTGCGTTACGTAAGATATGTTGTACAACACAGTCTCTTATTACAACAATGCCCAGTGTATTTGTCCTTGAAGGTCAGCATTCAGCTATTTAGACCTAATTCTGGTCTGCACACTGTTTGTGAGAACGACAGAGATCTTCACTTTTCGGAAGCTCAATAACCCCCTCACCTTTATGTGAAACATCAGATGCAACTCCCGAGACCTTGTTCACTCCACAAACATACCTTAGCGTCTATACGACGCTCCCTTCACGTGTATGTACATCAGGGGATGCCCCCGAGAATATTGCATGTGCTTCTAAACATCTAAATATATACGATCGCAATTTGTACACACACACGCGCGCGCACTCACTCACAAACACAATCACACACACACACACACACACACACACACACACACACACACACACACACACAAAATTTCACAGAGAGAGAGGTAGGGGGGTGTGTGTAAAAAGGTCAACTTTGCTAATTCGAAATGCAAGGTACATCACAAATGGACAATGATATGCATGACCTCAAACGTCACACATTTTAAAGGCACAATCTTTGCTTTGATGCGTTAACGCAAACAATCATTCGGTTTTTCCACGGTTGTGGAGAAGGGATAGCATTACTGCCAACGTTGTTGGAAGAATGGAGGAGAGTTTGTGATACACCTGCGTGCTAACCAGACCTGTATTATATAAACTTTCTATTCAGCCTGGTGTGCATGACGGGACGACCCTTTGTGAAAGACCTAGCTTCTATTGCAATAACATTCTACAGCAACCCTAGCTTCTATCACTATATGTTCCTATACGTTGGCTGGTGTTTGCAATGACTTGGCATATTTGAACGGGTGGATAGCCCAGCAGACAGATATAATCCGATGGGCAATGTACACATTCGGACCGGAATGTATACAACGCGAGTCTTAGGTACATAGCAGACCTGTTCTAGTTCTAGGACAACCTCACGAGAGAAAGGTTATGAATAGTCACACGAATGTGCCTGAGTACGAGTACTTTGAAAACAATTCGCGGCATTCTCGATATCTCACATTCTGAAATATATAAAACAAGCTTTATTATGTGATGTGAGTTTAATAGACCTCAGTGTAAGCGTCCAACCCAACTCTGATTACCGTAACCTATGTAATAAATACTTATCTTCCCCTTGCAGCGGACTTTGTCTGTTAAGGGACTTACGAAGAATCTTACGCAGTAAATCACATCAGTTTAGTTTTTCTAGTGTTCTTATCGACAATAGTTACATGTTTGAATTGCAAATTACTGACGCTGAAAGTTAACCACTATCAAGGAAAGGTTGGGGGTTTTCACAGAAAGTATTTGAAACAAGTGGAATTAATACCATGTGGATTCTCAAAACAAAAGGATTTGTTTGAAATTTTACAATTTCAGAAATGGGCCAAGTTCAACACAAGGCTGCTTTATTAGATCAAAAGCAAAGTGGATAGAACATGGAGAAAAGCCATCCAATTACCTTTTTAAATTAGAAAGTAGAAATTTTCTAAATAAATCTATCTCAGCTCTTGAAAAACCAGATGGAACTTTATTGAAGAAAGAACATAAAATCATTCAAGAAGTTCATATTTTCAACAAAATTCATCATTTTTATGAAAAACTATATGAAACTGAAGACTGTGCACATATTGACCTGGAAAACCTTTTTGCTAAAGTATCAGTGCCAAGGTTAGACTGTCAAACATCACTTTCCTTAGAAGGGGAGCTGACCTATAATGAAGTACGTGAAGCAATAAAAAAATGAGTCCTGGCCCAGATGGCTTCACAGCAGAATTTTTAAAGTTCTTTTGGTTCGACCTCAATAAATATTTGATAAATGCTTTGAATTATGCATATAAAATAGGCGCCTTATCTACTACCCAAAAACAAGGCCTAATCACGTGCTTGCCTAAAGATAACAAATCAAAACTCATTCTAAAACATTGGCGCCCTATTACTCTTTTAAATACTATTTATAAATTAGCTGCGTCGACAATAACAAATAGGATAAAGCCACTTTTACCACTGATTATCCATGAGGATCAAAAGTGTTTTGTATCATGAAGTATATAGGTGAAGTGACTAGATGTATTTATGATATATTAGACAATACAGAATCATACCAGATACCAGGCTTACTACTACTTATTGATTTTGAAAAGGCATTTGATTCTGTGGATAGAAAATTTATACATGATGTACTTAACTTTTTTCCGCTTTGAGCCCAATATTCAATATTGGAAAAGAAATTGTTTTTCGTAAACAATGAAGCAAGTGTTTTGGTTAATGGTTTTGCAAGCCCCTTCTTTAAGGTTTCAAAAGGTTGTCGTCAGGGGGATCCTATATCACCTTATCTCTTCATATTATGTGCAGAAATCCTAGCAGTAATGTTAAGAAATAATAAAGATATTAATATTGGTAATATATATTCCCTTTAAGCACATTTGCAGATGATACCATCAATGAGTACATTATCCTTTTTTGCAAGATTTTCAGGATTAAAAGTAAACACAGAAAAAACCGAATTGATATGAATAGGTTCCAAAAAGAAATCAAGATACAAACTCTGTAAAGAGTACTGGACACGAACACAGTTTAAGCTATTAGGTATTGAATTTGATATTGATTTAGAAAATATGGTTAATCTGAACTATATAAATAAATTAGATAACACTGAAAAAGAAATGAAACACTGGACAAAGAGAACTTTAACACCAGTGGGTAGAAATATTGTGTTGAAATCATTACCACTACTTAAACTAAACCATTTATTCAGCAGTATACCAAGCCCACCTAAAATATAATAGAATCTTTTCAAAAGAAACGTTTTCAGTTTGTTTGGAAATTTAAACCAGATAAAGTCAAGGGAGATACAATGTATGGTGGCATAAATGTACCACTAGTAGAAAAGAAAAGGTTATTGCAGCTCAGAAATTTTGTTGGATCAAAAGACCAAATGGGCATGTTTCTTTTATGATCATTTAGTTGAGGCAAAAATAATAAATGTGCTTTCTACATAGAAAACAATATTGTCCAAAATATCCACAACCAGTTTTGGAAAGAAACACTATCATTATAATTATCATACCTACACTGTTGTGACGATACTGAACTATCTGTTACGGGTGTAATGAATAAGTCAATTTGGTACAATAATAGCATAACAATTGATAATAAGCCAGTAGAATTTTCCCATTTGGTATGAAAAAAGTATAACATATCTTTAACGATTTCTTCAACGATACAGGAAATTGGTTTAATTTCCATGAATTTATTAAAAAATATACTTTGAATACAGACTTTTTAACATTTCAAGGGTTGAAACAATCTATCGCCCAATACTTACAAAGAATTAACTTTAGTCAAATACAAGAGATCTCTCAAAAACCAATATTACCTTATAATATTTCTAAAATCAACAGTACTTCAGGTAATAGATTATTTTATGAAATTTTGCAAAATTCCAAATTTACAAAACTTAAAAGCTATAGCCAATGGGAGCTTTATCTTAATAAACACCTTACTGAAACAGAATGGATACATTATAGTTTGATGGCAAAAAGATGTACACAAAGCAGATGGTCTCAGTTTAAGAGTTTGTAATTGTCAATATGCAATACATATTTGGATAAAATTTACTGAATGGATTGAAGGATACATTTAAGTGAAGAACATTTGTTATTTGGATTTGAAGGTAAACATAACAATCCTCTTAATGTGGTGATACTAATAATCAAATATATGTTGTATAAATGTAGTTAGAAAGCAGTGAAACCCAATTTATATGGTTTCAAAACGAAGTATTAAAATATTATGAAATCTCAAAATTTATTGCGTTTTCTAATTGTAACTATGCAAGTTTTCATTCTTTCTGGTCATTCTTCCAATTACCTTTTAGAAATGCTATAACTGACTGACTGTATATGTCCTTTGTATGTGTACTATATATAAGAGGTAATGTACACACAATGTATTTAAATCAACACTACTCATTGTACACTTAAAATACTTTCAATTGGAGAACATAAACCTGATGTAATGGAAATTGTAACATAGAAATAAATATATTAAAAAAAAGTTCAACTCTGTCAAAGCATTTGTTTTTCGTTTTTTGGACGAAACTATCCCCCCAAAAAACCTTCATTCCTTGTTTCATTTTTTGTTTATAAACGTGGTGAATATAGATATCGGTTCATGTCTTCAAAGGTTCAGGACAGTTGTCACAAATGAGGCACATGCCATCTGAAGTATTCAATACAACGCGTGGAATGCTGGTCCTCCTCGATGATAACATACAAACTATGGATGTCAAACGTTTAGACAAGAAATAGGCATGCCCGTGGGCACACTCAGTGCTCCCCTCCTTGAGGATCTCTTTCCATAATAGTAATATGCTCGAGCTGGCAAAAGCAAATGAAGGTGATTTGACAAAGAGGTTTTACTTAAGCTTTACGTATGTTTATGATCTGTTATCGTTTTTATAAATCAAATAGCCAAATCCCTTCCA